TTAAATATAAATATCTTCATTGTTTTAGTAAGTGCAGTCAATCAGCTTTCAGATTAGCATGCCACTGAGCCAAACAAGCTTTTTAAAATAAGCTCCCAGCTTTCTGCCGGTGGACGTGGTGGATGTCACCCAGTGAGCGTCTTTGAAGTCTCCCCTCCTGCAGTCATCAGGTCTAAGTCAGAGTCTCCCAAAGAGCCGGAACAGCTGCGGAAGCTCTTTATCAGAGGTTGGAGCTTTGAAACAACCGATGAGAGTCTGAGGAGCCATTTTGAGCCACGGGGAACGCTCACAGACTGTGTGGTGATGAGAGATCCAAACACCAAGCGCTCCAGAGGCTTTGGCTTTGTCACACATGCCACTGTGGGAGAGGTGGATGCAGCCATGAATGCAAGGCCACACAAGGTGGATGGAAGAGTTGTGGAACCAAAGAGGGCTGTCTCAAGAGAAGATTCTCAAAGACCTGGTGCCCACTTAACTGTGAACAAGATTTCTGTTGGTGGTATTAAAGAAGACACTGAAGAACATCACCTCAGAGATTATTTTGAACAGTATGGGAAAATCGAAGTGATTGAAATCATGACTGACCAAGGCAGTGGCAAAAAGAGAGGCTTTGCTTTTTGTCACCTTTGCTGACCATGGCTCTTTAGACAAGATTGTCATTCAGAAATACCATCCTGTGGACACAACTGTGAAGTAAGGAAAGCCCTATCTAAGCAAGAGATGGCTAGTGCTCCGTCCAGCCAACGAGGTCGAGGTGGTTCTGGAAACTTTGGAGGTGGTCGTGGAGGTGGTTTTGGTGGGAATGACAACTTTGGTCGTGGAGGAAACTTCAGTGGTCGAGGTGGCTTTGGTGGCAGCTGTGGTGGTGGTGGATATGGTGGCAGTGGGGATGGTTATAATGGATTTGGTAATGATGGAAGCAATTTTGGAGGTGGCGGAAGCTACAATGATTTTGGCAATTACAACAATCAATCTTCAAATTTTGGACCCATGAAAGGAGGGAACTTTGGAGACAGAAACTCTGGCCCCTATGGTGGTGGAAGCCAATACTTTGCCAAACCGCGAAACCACGGTGGCATTGGCCGTTCCAGCAGCAGCAGCAGCAGCAGCAGCAGCAGCAGCAGCAGCAGCAGCTGTGGTGGTGGCAGAAGGTTTTAATTTCTGCCAGGAACAAAGCTTAGCAGGAGAAGAGAGCCAGAGAAGTGACAGGGAAGCTCCAGGTTACAACGGATTTGTGACCTCAGCCAAGCACAGTGGTGGCAGGGCCTGGCTGCTACAAAGAAGACGTGTTTTAGACAATACTCATGTGAATGGGCAAAAAACTCAAGGACTGTATTTGTGACTAATTGTATTACAGGTTATTTTAGTTTCTGTTCTGTGGAAAGTTTAAAGCATTCCAACAAAGGGTTTTAATGTAATTTTTTTTTTTTTTTTTTGCACCCATGCTGTTGATTGCTAAATGTAATAGTCTGATCATGACGCAGAATAAATGTGTCTTTTTTTAAAAATAAAATAAGCTCCCATATACTAGGGGATGGAGGTGTATGGGGGAAGACAGAAACAGAGAGAGGGAGAGTAATTGATTATAACTACCCTCCGGATTCCTATATCTTTTGCCAGGATTATCAGCCTATTATTTTGACTTGGGGTGTATTTTAATTGAACTGTTCACTGAATGGATAAAAGGTCAAATCTCTGGAGTTTTTTGATGTACACTAGTAATTCACTGACCTGACTCCATGTTTCATGCACCTCATAAAACGCGCACAGCTAATATGCCTTTTTCTAATTTCTGAGACTTGCAGTGTGGGTTAGAATTTAAATGCCATCACTTCCAAATCAGGACTGGGATTTAAATGTTAATAAGCAAGCCAGGCCATCAACCTAATACAATATAATCAAGAGTTTTTCTCATTTGGTTATACTAACTTCCATCTCTTAGTTATCTTAATTTCTGGGCAACATTGATATGTAAAATGAAATGGAGAAAGAGATTGGGCTGGGTGAAGTGGGGGAGAAAGCTGTGATCCATGAGTCCCTACTTAAAGGGGAAAGTTTTACTTCCCTTTTATTAGACATTTCAGTATAGTGTAGCCTGAAAATAGAGATAGCAGATGCTGCCCAGGTGTTTATTCCATATGGAGCAGAGAAGGGAGAAAAGAAACTGAAGTTCAAGGCAACTGGTTTCTTTCAATAAAACAAGAGGACAGAGCTGAAAATCCTTTTAGAAAGCTCTCATTGTGGATTATATATTTTGAGTTACTATCCTATAATTTTTCAATGCTCAAACTACTCCCTCTGCCTGAAACACTTTTCCAGTTTTTTTCTTTTTCTTGACCTTTCAAGGTATAAATCATCAATGAAATCAAATGAAGTTATTTTTCTGTTGTTGAATTCTACAGTGATTGAGCCAATCAATCCTACACAGCGTTGTCCTTTCCACCCTTTTTATTTTTTTTCAAGGACATTTTTCCATTATTTGTTCAGATAGAGTGAGAGGGAGGGAGAGGGGGGGAGGGAGAGAGAGAGAGAGAGAGAGAGAGAGAGAGAAAAACATCGATGTGAAAGGGACACATCGAGTGGCTGCCACCCGCACGACCAACCAGGGCCAGGGACAAACTGCAACTGAGGTACGTGCCCTTAACTGGAACCGAACCCGGGTCTCTCTGGACCACAGGCTGACGCTCTAACCGCTGAGCCAAACTGGCCAGGGCTCCACCCCTTTTTTTTAAACCCTCACCTGAACATATGTTTTCATTGATATTTAGAAGGTGGGAGGGAAGAAGGGGGGGGGGAGAATGAATGAGAGAAGAGAGAAACACGATGGATTGGTTGCTTCCTGTATGTACCCTGACTGGGGATTGAACCAGCAACCTTTTGGTGTATGGAAGATGTTTCAACCAACTGAGCCATCAGCCAGGGCTTCCCCCAATTTTAATAATATTTTTTAAACATTTTAATTATCCCAGGAATAATATTCAAACGATAGACAGATAGATATCTAGACGTATAGATTGTTTTTTTCACTTTAAGAAATTCTATGGTAATCTAACTGATGCTGAACAACACAGAATAAGGGCATGCATAAGATATAATTCCAGATACTTAGCTTTTATGGGTTTTAACACATTATATACCAATACCTTTCCCTATTGAAAGAACTGTGTCTCAGAATGTGTAGCTAAGAGATAATGTGAGTGGAGGCAGCTCCTGTCTGCCTACATCTGTAGGAGTCATCAGCCAGTAACAGTGGTGTCCAAATTTTCCTGAGCATACTTGGAACAAAAGAGTCCCCATTGCCTGTTGTATTTACTCTGTCTTTTTTTCCTACACCTGAAGCTTTCAAGGTACTTTTCTATATTTAGAAAAATGAACTTTAAGAATTAATAAATTTGAAATATGTTATATGGTTATTTTGCCTAAGCTTGTTGGTATGGCACAGTGATCACACATCCAGTTTGCCCAAAATGTCCCAGATTATTCCCATTTTATCAACATTATTATCAATAGTATCTACTTTAGTCTCGAAAATGTCTTGATTTTACAGTAAATCATATGCCCACTCTAGTTATGGGCCTAATCAAACAACCTTGGGTTAAAATTCTAACCCCATTTCTTATTAGCTGTGGGACTTTGGGATGGCTCCTTTATTTCTCTGCATCCCTGGTTTCTCATGTGTAAATAGAATAATAATACTACTTATCTCAAGGTTGTTTGAGGATCCAATGAGTTAATTTATATAAAGCTCAGAATAGTTTCTAACACATAGTAAGAGCTAAAAAAAATGTTAGTTATTATGAAATTTAAAGGATGACCCTTCTCACAGTTCACTCATCTAGATCCACAAAAGAAACAAATATATAACCAAATACAAAAAGTTTAAATGACTTTAGGCAACTAAGTATCAATTACTTTTGCAAGTTATAATTACATAAATTAATAACATTTATATAGTGGTTTTACTTTAACACCTAATTTCCTACATATTATCACAAACATTCTTCATGACAATTTCATGAAGTGGGTATTATTATTATTATTTTTTTTATTCTCAGCCGAGGACATTTTTTTGTTTTTTGTTAAGATAGAGTAGGAGGGAGAGAGAGGAAGAGAAAGAGAGAGAGAAACATCTACGTGAAAGGGACGCATCCAGTGGCTGCCACCCGCATGATCCAACCAGGGTGGGGACAAACTGCAACCGAGGTACATGCCCTTAGCGGGAACCGAACCCAGGTCTCTCTGGACCACAGGCCGACACTCTAACCGCTGAGCCAAACTGGCCAGGGCTGAAGTGGGTATTATTAATATCCTTATTTCTCAGGACACCAGTCAGGGAAGTTAAGTATTTCCTAAGATCACAGAAAACTGGAGCCAAATTCTTCTCACTCTAAATACCTTATTTTGGGCACTAGTGAAGGGTGCATATTAAATTCTTAATCATTTTTATGTATTTTCAACTCAAAGTTGAACAGTCAACTCAAATAACTAACACATTCTGAAATATATTTATCTTGGTTCTATTTAGGAATTTTCACACTGTGTTATAATAGCATATTTAATTTAATTGCCCACCTCTAGAACATAAATTCTTAGATGTTATGAGGTAAAAACATTATGAATTTCTTCTTTATCTTTGGGTTTATAGTGCCCTTTTTTATTCCTGACACACAACAGCCACTCAATAAATATTTATTAAATTAAATAAAATAAATGTTTTTCAAACAGTGTTCCAGAAATTACAGTCCCTGTATTCAGGCTCTCTATTAAGTGATATTTTGGAAAGAGAGTCAAGCCATTCAGTGATAAACGGTTCCCAGGTGATCACGGGGATTCATGGAGAACTGAGTTTATTTCTCTGCCCTTTCCTGACATTTCTTCTTGGGCACTTTATAATGACATGCTTTGGCTTCCTCCAAGGACACCTCCTTCTCTGGAACCACTTGTCATAATATTATTAATTCTTAAGAAGAGAACATGTTTTTTCAGTATAAAGTACTCACATTCGGGCTCCATAAACATTTCCATAGGCATCAGAATCATTACAACTCTGCTCCTGATTGTCAATGGTATAATTAGATTGGTAAAAATCAGGGTCAAATTCTCCCAAGTTTGACATCCTGGAAAATAAGAAAATTTTTTACTGAGAAGTTTAGGAGTCATTAAAACTTCTTTTGAGGTATTACAGAGATTAATCGACAATGGGATGATAGATTTCCATCAGAGAACAAGGCATTCTTTGGATGGGGTAGATTAAGTATTGGGGGAAAGACACAGAGATGTACATAAGAAAGTCATTTACAAAACGTGTATTTTCAATGAACTTTTCTGAAGTTTTCACTCACCAGAACTGTGACTTTGACAACATTGGCTTTTTACCCATCACTATTGATCTAATCTATGCCCTCTTATCCTCTGCCCACCCCCACCCCCGCGATCACCACACTGTTGTCCAAGTCCACGAGTTCTCCCTTTTTCTGTTTTGCTCAGTCCTAAATTGACTTTAATTGATCTGAAAGAGCTAACAGTTGTCCCCAAATACGTTATTCTCAGCAGTTTAAGACTTGGTATATATTTAGAAGGTTTTCTTTTAAACAATTCTAGTTCCTCATTTTAATTATTACTTATAAGTAATTTTCATTTAAATATTTTACCTTTATACACACACACATACATATATATTCTTGTCGTAAAACAGAAAGCAAATGGCTGGTAATAATAATACGATCTCGTTTTCAATTCTCCTGGAGCTTTGAAGTGTGTTGTCACAGCCTCTCTGCTCCCTTCGGCTGAGTCAGAGGGGAAGGCTCAGATCTGCGAGGAAACAGTCTCTTTCCATAAACTCTGTGCATAGTTTCTGCTCTCTCTGGGGGGTGCAGGGAGCACATCATCTTGATTTAAACTTAACAACAGAAATGTCAGAGGGAAGAAGAGTGAAAGCAGGAAAAGGTAGGGGAAGAAAGGAATAGTAAGGTCATGGTGGCTCTTTGGATAAAAATTAGAGAATGGAGTAAAGAATCTTTTCAACTGGATGAATATGGTTATTTGGTTCAATGTTTTAATATTTGTTTGTCTTTGAAATGTTATTATTTCAAAAGAGTAACTTTTAAATCACGACTTCCAGTCCAGAAGGCAGTGTAAGTAAACGTGGTACTCGCCTTCTCCCACAACCACATCAAAATTACAACTAAACCATAGAACAACCATCATTCAGAACCGCCTGAAATGGAGCTGAACGAAGTCCTACAACTACGACATTAAAGAAGCAGCCACACCGAGGCTGGTAGGAGGGGCGGACAGGCTGGTCCCACACCCACGTGTAGTGGAAAAAATCAGGAGGAACACCTCAGTTGGGAAGGTCCTTCCTGAGGAGTAAGGGGTCCCCATCCCACGGGCACCCCGCTCAGGGTTCCAGTGCCAGGAAGAGAATCCCCATCACTTTGGGCTGGAAAACCAGTGGGAACTGAGGCTGAGGGAGGCTGAGGCTCTGGAGTTCCCGGCAGCCCCTCTTAAGGGGCCTGCACATGGACTTCCTCAGACTCACTTCCTCTGCGGGGGGAAGCAGCTTGAAAGGCACCAGAGACATATGGGGAAGAACTGAGGGGTGAGGGCTGGAGAGGCAGTTTTCTCCCGTATGTGCTGGCAGAGGCCCTTGTTCCCTTGGTGAGCCCTCCCCTTCTGGGCAGGCAGGCAGGCGCCATATCTGGGACTCCAGCAAGCTGGCTCACTCTGTTTGTACCAATCTGATGATTCCCTGAGGCCCCGCCCCACCCAGCTTTCAGGCCCACCCAAGATGTTTCCAGTGGCTTTACCATAGGATTAGCCTGTCTGGGCTCATGCTTCCAATTTTCCTGAATTCTCTCAAACAAGCATCATCTGGCCTCAAGGAGCCCCATGCCTCTCGCTATGTGCCCCAGGCCCCGCACTAGAAGTAGCCAGTCTTGTTTCAAAGCTTGGCTTTGCCTGAGCTCCTCCAAGCCCAGCACAAGAGGCAGCCATCTCCAGATCGCTTTGTAGCTTATGCCTGGTGGTCCCAGGTAGAACACAGGCAGTAGCTGACCTTGCCCCAGAGCCAGCCCACCCAGTGGACAGCTTCAGACCACATCAAAGCACCACCACCCAACCACCTCCACAAGCAACACACTCAAAGAGTAGACTCAGTGGATACCAGAGCCCTGCTGAAGTAAGTCTTGATCTGTGTGTGCTGAGCCCCTGCACAGCTGATCCTCCAAGGGAGTCAGAGGTCAGTGGTGAGTGGGCACAGTCCTTATAGTTGATCAGCCTGAGTAAATCCCTCCCACTGATGTGCCAACAGCAATCAAGACTCAATTACAATAGAAGAGTGTATAGTCCAAATGAAGGGTTCACCTTGAGGGTTCAGCTGGGGTGATCATGGAGGCTGTGCCACTGAACCCTATAGGACACCTACTATAATAGGCCATCCTAGGAAGCCTAGGAGACATAGCGTCTCTGCCTAATACATAGAATCAAACACAGGGAAGCAGCTAAAATGAGGAGAAAAAGAAACATGTCCGAAATGAAAGAACAGAACAAAACTCCAGGAAAAGAACTAAATGAAATGGAGATAAGCAATCTAACAGATGCAGAGTTCAAAACACTGGTTATAAGAATGCTCAAGGAACTTAGTGAAGGCTTTAAGAGCATAAAAAAGGACGAGTCAGAAATGAAGAATGCATTGACTAAAATAAAGAATAATTTACAGGGAATCAAAGGTAGAATAGGCGAAGCCAAGAAGCAAACTCTCAATTTGGAATATCAGGAAGCAAAAAACACCCAATCACAACAGCAAAAAAAAGAAAAAAGAATCCAAATAAACTGAGGGTAGTATAAGGAGCCTGTGAGACAATTTCAAGCATACCAACATTTGCATCATGGGGGTGCCAGAAGGAGAAGAGAGAGACCAAGAAATTGAAAACCTATTTGAAAACATAATGATAGAAAATTTCACTAACTTGGTGAAGGAAACAGACATACAAGTCCAGAAAGCACAGAGAGTCTCAAAACAAGATGAACCCAAAGAGGCCCAAACCAAGGCACATCACAATCAAAATTCAAAAGGTAGCCCAGCTAGTGTGGCTCAGTGGTTGAGCATTGACCTATGCACCAAGATGTCACCAGTTTGATTCCCAGTCAGGGCATATGCCCAGGTTGAGGGCCCAATCCCCAGTTGGGGGCATATAGGAGGTGATGAATCAATGTTCTCTCTCATCGATGTTTTTATCTCTCTCTCCCTCTTCCTTTCTCTTTCTCTAAAAATCCATTACAAAAAAAATGCAAAAGGTAGAAGACAAAGAGTGAATCTTAAAAGCAGCAAGACAAAAGCAGTTAGTTATCTACAAAGGAACTCCAATAGGACTATAAGCTGATTTCTGAAAATAAACTTTGCAAGCCAAATGAGAGTGGCAAGAAATATTCAAAGTGATGAAAAGTAAGGACCTACAACCAAGATTACTCTATCCTGCAAAGCTGTCCTTTAGAATCGATGGACATACAAAGAGTTTCCCAGACAAGAAAAAGCTAAAGGAGTTCATCACATCAAACCAGTATTATATGAAATGTTGAAGGGTCTTCTTGAAGAAGATAAAAAATGTGAACCATAAAATGGCAATAAATACATATCAATCAACAATTTAATCTACAAACAAAAATGAACAAGCAGAACAAAAACAGACTCATAGATACAGAGAGCTTTTTGTTGGTTGCCAGATGGGAGGTGGGTTTGGGGGATGGGCGAAAAAGATGAAGGGATTAAGAAGTACAAATTAGTTGTTAGACTGACAAACCTCAAAGGGAAGGGTGGGGGAGGAGAGATAAATGAAATAACTTATATACATATATGCATAACCGATGGACCCAGATAATAGTGTGAGGAAGACAAGAGGAGGGGGAAGTGGGGAGGAAGGCATCAATGGAGTAAAAAGGGGGAAAATCTGTAATACATTCAATAATAAAGATAAGTTTAAAAAATGTTTAAATCACTAGGAGCGATCCATATAATTATAGTAATCTATGGAATATTACTTATAATATATTTCAAAATCATGGTATAAACAGCCTTACCTCTAAGAGACTCATTAATCAGAAATATTCAAGAACAATTCTCAAATATATCAAATTTTCTCACTTCCGTAAAAATACAGAAAGTTTTTCTAAAATTGGATGCAGTGATTCATACATCTGATTTAATAAATCAAGATTTTTCATTAGTAATATGTATAAAAGTAACTATAAATTATGTAAGCTAAAATCTGGAGTAGAAGAGAATGTTAAATCTTTTAACAACTTATAATTTAAAGAATTTAAAATTTAATAGCATCACTTTCTCAGCCCATTAAAATGTTATTATAAAAGCATAGAGAGTAATTCACTGGAGAATACATGTAAGTTTTCATAACATGCAAATCTTTATGTGCTATGACTATTGGTATTAGAGTCCTTATATAACCCAGCTTTATATTTCATTTAAATGCCATTTTAGAAGGATTAGACACATACCTTTATATTATATTATGTTGAAAAATCCTCCAACAAATGTTTCTTTACTAGAGAAATTTATAACAAACCAGTTTGTGAAAAGATAACTTGCTGACTATATATGTGTTTCTAAATTTGACTCTGACACTGAGCAGATGTTTGCCAAAAGTCAAAGCCAAACACAGTATCTTATAACACTCGTTAGAGTTTACAGACGCAGTGAAAGGCGTAGAGACACAATTTGATAAAGTGAAATGGTAGATTCAATTTTCTTGTAGGCACATCCCATTATATTCTGACTTAGAATCATTTTTTGGGGGCAAACAATGGAAAGTAAGAGGAAATTTCTTGTGCTTTATAGCCTATAAGAATCAACCTAGACAAGATTTCCTAATAATTTGCAGTACAAATCAATATATGGGTGAAAAGTGAAGGGATTTGGTTGTTACAGAACAGTCATGGGTATGTAGAGAACAGCATAGGAAATATAGTCAATTTGCTAATAACTATGTCTGGTGTCAGATGGGTGTGAGATTTATTGGGATGATCAGTTAGTAAGTTATATAATGTCTAATCACTGGGGTGTACACCTGAAACTAATATAATAATGTATGCCCACTGTAATTGAAAATAAAAAATAAGAAAATAAGAAAAATATTATATATACATAAAAATAACATGATCTTAACATGATGAATTTAGCAACTATCTAAACATGGGGTGTTGTCAATTTTATCCAAATCTGAACTATTCCGTTTATATAAACAACATTTTGGAAGGCTACCTCTGATCTGTCTCTGATTTTTTCCCTTCCTTTTTCTTCTCCAGCAGGGTCCAAGATGGATATAAATGTGAACTAGTAGTACTTTTCACTTGTGAGGCATGTGACATCCCATTTTCAAGCCAATTCTGACTCCTGTAGAAGGCATCAGACCCACTTCTCCCCCAAGAAACACCTCAGTTGTTTCCCGCTACATCTGTGAGTCACTTCCAGAAGCCTTCTCCATATTTTGACCAAGATAACTTGGCTAATACTCCCAGTTCCTATCTGGATTTGGTTGTTTGTCCCTAATATCGGCCTTATGGCTGAGGTCGAGTGCCCCTGTAATCTGTTTCATGTTGATTCTCCTTCTAGGATTTGAGACTCCCCATGTGTCCAGATTTAAGTAACTAAAATCTATTTATTGTTCAAGAGTAGATTGACATTTAGGAATTTTTAACTAGAGCCTAAGGCAGAATGGTAAAATACTTTTTTCCACACTGTTTAAAAACATTTGAATTTCTTGAATTAAGAGTTGTCCTTTACCAGGTCACTAGTCAAGCAACAGTAGGTCACACACTTATTGAGGATCTACTATTGAGTACCAAACTATGTTCTAAATGGCATAATTACAGAAGTGGGCAAACTAAACAGACCTGCATTTAAAAAAGATGTTTTAGTACTAATTGTACTATATCTACAACAAGTAATACTGACTAGCCAGGCATTGTTCTATAAATTTTAGGTTTAAGTCATTTAAGTTTTGCAGCAACTTTATAAAGTGTTATTGTCACATTTTACAGAAAAAGAAATAGAAATTGAATAATTTGCCCTGGTGGAGCTAGAACGAGCCAAGGTTTGCAACCTAGTGGACACCCCAAAACCCACATTATTATCCAAGATAATTTCAGGAATTAACCAAAACCTGTGAACAAGTTAGCATTTGTTATTAAGATAGAGAGTGCAGATGGGAGAGGACTTGGATGTTTAGCGAAGGCCTCTTAAGAAGGTTGTTTGGACTGAGACCTGACTGATGAGAAGCCACTTGAAAGGCTATGTTCAAAGGATTTAAAGCAAATACTCTGATTTGGCAGTTTGTGGTTTAGAAGGAAAGCTACATGGTAGTGAGTTTGAATCGGGGAAAAGTTGGAGAGATGAGGTTAGAGGCATAGGCAGCAGCCAGATCATAAAGGCCATGTTAAGGAGTCTAGATTTTATAATTGAATCGAGACGCCACTGCAGGGTTTAAGCAATGGGATAATATGTCCAGTTTTTGCAGAAACAGAAGAGCAAGACTGGTTAGGAGGATGCTGTGACAGGAATACAGGCATGAGATGAAGGTGGCTAGGACCAGGCGATCAGCGGGAGTGGGAGAACAGGTAGAAAATTCTCGGCAGCTGAGGGAAGAATGTATTGAAGGGGTTAAAAACTGGATTAGGAAAATGATAAATTGTCCAAACTGGAGAAAGTCTAATGGAGATAGGAATAAAGAGGTAAAGAAGATAATGTATATGTAAAGATTTTATAGGGTTCAATTTCTACTGGATAGGATGAAAAAGAGGACAACTATTTTTCTTTTTTTTCTTTATTGAGTTTAGAGAGAGAGGAAGGGAGAGACAGAAACATCGATGAGAGAGAACATCAACTGGCTGTCTCCTGCATGCCCTCCACTGGAGATTGGGCCCACAACCTCGGCATGTGCCCTGACTAGGAATCAGACTGGCGACCTCCTGGTGCATGGATCGACGCTCAACCTCTGAGCCATACCAGCCGAGTGAGAAAGGCAATTATTGATGACGATTTCTAGAATTCTGACAACTTCTCTGTCCTAATGTGTTTATGTTATAGGAAAAGGCCAAATTGTGATATAGTAGCCAAATTTAGATCATATTTTCTATTCCTTCTTTAAAAGTTCTATATGTGAGAACATAGCACCCTTCCAGTAACTGCAAGAATTCAGAGTGCATTCTTTTTTCTGAATATAAATTCACTAAAAAGTTTACCAGTGATAATATTTTTATATTAATCCAGTTAGTTGAATTTTAAACTTATTTTGTGATTTTCGTATTTCTCAGATTTTCTTCATAAAAAACATCTTCATTAAATACGTTTTGCAGAAATGTGTGAATCAAAAATGGTGCATAAAAAGGGTATTAATCTAAGACTCCAGTGAACCATAAGCCATGAAACACTGAAGACCAAATGACAACATTGTCCTGATAAGTGCATTAATGGACCATAAATACATCTGCCAGAAGACTTTGACGCTACTCTTATACATGTAACATTATATATGTATAAAAATATGCATTTAAATGTTTCTATTTATTAATGAACCTTCCACTTGTTAAGGTGTATGTTGAAGAACAGAGTTTAAATCAATATTACAAATAGTCAGTTTTATCAATTGATTATTTTATTTCATCTACTTAAATAATTATTTCCGGGTTCTCAATTATCAAAAAGCCTAAATAATATGAATAAGAATTTTCATCTGATACAAAGAACCCATGTTCTAGTTAAACAACCACTTTCTTTTTTTTTCCTTTCCTCTTTTCCCTTCCTCTCTCCATCTATTCCCCTCCTCCATTCCTGTGTTCTCTCTCTAAACTCTCTCCTAAGGTGATTTCAAACATTCCCCTGGCCTTATGTACCATCGATATCGAGAGAATTCCTGAAGTTACATATGCCTCCCTCATGTTTCTTCACAACTCCAGACTATTGATTTGATCTTTCAAATTTATAACCCAAATTGATTTTTTTAAAAATCTCTACCTCCCCAATCCAATGCATTCTTCTCCAATCAAGGAAATAAAATCACAAACACCTACTCACTCAAATCAGAAATCATCTAATCTGCCTGGCTCAGTGGTTGAGCATTGACCCAGGCACCAAGAGGTCGCCGGTTCAATTTCCAGCCAGGTTGTGGGCCAAATCTCCAGTGGGGGGCATGCAGGAGGCGGCCAATCGATGTTCTCTCTCATCAATGTTTCTATCTCTCACTCCCTCTCCCTTCCTTTCTATAAAATCAATAAAGAAAAAAAATTTTTAAAAATCATCTAATCCGTCAATGAATTCTAATAATTCTGTCTCTAAAATATACTCCCACTAACTGATTCTGTCTCTACTGCTATCACCCTGAGTTAAGCCACTATTTTCTCCCACTTAGACTTCTGTTTGTAATTATTCAATGAAGTGAAATATCCCCTCTAAAGTAGAAGGTTGTTAGCTAGTAATAAAGTTTTCATAATAAAGACTGTAAAAATTATACCTTTAATGGCAAAATGACTTGCCAAACCCAGAAAAAAAAATTTCTTCTGTGGTTGCTGACTGCAATTAGCAGTGGGGATAAGAAAAATAATCTCCATTTGTAATTTTTTGGATTCTCTTCACCTGTACAGTGTGAAGAGATTGTGAACTGATCAGTTGCTATATCTGAAACAATTTTCTCTGTACCTGATAATTACACACACATATGTATTAAATTAAAGAATGAATGGCTAGATGGATGGATAAATAACCACAACTTTTAATTTTGCATACACAGAACCCCATATTTCTATTGGTGTGTATCAATCTCAGAATTATATAAGATTATGCAACCATTACTGCAATCTTTTGATATAAGAATGAAGACTCAGAATGGCTAAGTGACCTTTTTAAAAAGTCATGGAACACAGAAGGTATTGCATATTTTTTCTGTCTTAATATGAGTGGAAATTTAAGGTACAATGGAATCAATGTACATTAAATTGCAATACAGATTGCCAAAATAATTAATTACTATCTCAACACTGGAAACAAACAACTAATTTTTCTGTCAGCAGAGGTACAAAAGAATGACACTTTTCTCTTGGATCATTGACAGCTTTGTTTAGCTGAAAATATGTATTGGAGTTTGTGAATAAATATTATTTAGTGTTTGCAAACAGGTACATTCTTAAAATCAGCATTTTGGACAGCCATAGGTAATCTTTTGGAAGAAACAGTCTGTGTAATGAAAGGAAACTAGGCTGAATGAGAGAATTCATATTCCAAACTGAGTTCTGCCACGTGCTAGGTGTGTGACTTTGTACTAGTCACTTAGCCACTCTTAAATTTCTACTCATACTAAAACAGAAAAAAAATGCAAAACCTTCTGTTCCACAATTTTAAAAAAAATCCATTTTGGTCAATATTCTCTATATACTCTTATTATTAATACCACATAAGATTTGTTCCTACCGGCCCTGCCCATGTGACTCAGTAGACAGAGCTTCATCCCAGACTGAGAGTCCCGGTGTGATTTCTGGTCAGGCCACATGCCCAGGTTTCTGGATGGATCCCCAGTATGGGGTGTGCAAGAGGCAGCCAATCAATATTTCTCTCTCACATCCATGTTTCTATCTCTCTTTTCCTTACTCTTTCTAAAAAAGTCAATAAAAATATTAAAAAGCAAATAAATGAAATAAAAATTCATTTCAGTAAAAAAGGTAGTTGATTCAAAGATAAATAGTATATTATAGCAACATGAGGCTATGGTGAAAATCAATAAGGATAACATACTGATTATTGAGGTTTGGGCAACACTGATTTATATGAATTATTGTGCTCACTGCATTTCAAAGTAGCTTTTAGGTTCAACCTCTGTCAAAAGTGACAGTAGCAATTAGTGTACTATATACTCCTATTATTACCACTTAAGATTTGTTCCTGACGGCCCTGTCCATGTGACTCAGTAGACAGAGTCCTCCACTGTCACAACTTACAGTGGTTCCAAGACCAAGTAGAAACAATGCAATGGCCAACTGGACAATTGCTATCTGGGTCCTCTGCTCCAAACCCCAGCTAGTGCAGAAAATCCCAAGGGAGTTGGTGGGCGCCAGAATCTTGAGTTGCTACACAGATTTCCTTCTCTTATCATTACCCTCCACCTTACTTAGCCAGAGCTCTGCCCTCTGCAAAGTACACATTTGTTGAAGTTGAAACCTGAAGATGATGGAGACATTTGGGCATTCAGAGCGGCACTTTTTCCCACCGTCATTTCTCCCCAAAACTTTGCTAGGATACATTGTAACCATTTACCACCGGTTTCCTTTCAGATGAGCTAGATAATCACTGAAGCGTGGGGATATAGTTAGACTTCCACATTTTAAAACAATTACAATATTATTTTGCCACGGGGTAAGAGGCTAAATCCTAACACCACGCTGCGGGCGGAATGAAAACTACTAGTGAGCGTTTCCCGTCACGTGACTCCCTTACAGCCTTGAGCGGGGCACACTAGCGTCGTGACGTAGTTGGACGTAAGAACGTCGGCGGGTGGCGCTTCCTCCGGCTGTTTCAGCGGAGCAGGCGGTTGGGCAGCGCTGTCCAAGCACCCTGTCTGGTCGGTGTCCGAAAGTGTGGCTGAATTGTTCGCCGCCCCTGGCCGCGGCATCTCGGAGGAAACCAAGTCTCGAGGGATGACGCCGTCGCGTCTCGGGACCGTCCCCTGACGCTGCGTCGCCAGTGGGATGCGGATTCTCGCGGGTCCGGGCTGGAGGCGCGGACGCGCGCTCGCGGCTTGTGTCACCCGGGCTGCGTGCCGGGGGCTGCCCTGGCCTCCGGGCGCGCGCACCGGCGGGGCTGCTGGCGGCTGCCGGGCTCTGGACAGGCTCTACGGCTCCGCAGAGCGCAAGGTGACCGCCTCTCCGTTTCTTATTAGCCACGTACTAAACGTTGGGAGGGTGCTTCTTACCCACGTGGAGCATGAAGGGCTTCCCAGGACCGACTACGCGTGGACAGGCTGCGACTCAGGCACCGAGGCGGAGCCGACAGCGCGCCCGCCCGGAGGTTTCCGAGTGCCCCACCTGTTCTCTGGTGTGACCTTGGACAAGTCACTTCATGTGTAACCTCGTTTGTGATGGCAGTCACTAATTAACTGTTTATGCGAGGCAGTGGGCTAAGCACTTTGCGTCTATTACCTTAATACTCCTAAAATCCCACTAAGGAAGATGCTAGTATAACCTTCGTTTCCTTGGGAAAATTTTCTTATTAATTTATTTTTGTTACAGATTTTTCTCCGTTTTCTCCCATTGACACCCTCCTCACGATCCGCCCCCCACCCCCATCACAGTATTGTTGTCTATGCCTATTGATTATGCAAATATGCATATAAGTTCTTTGGTTTATCTCTCCCCGCCCCCCTCCTCTGAGGGTTGTCAGTCTGAGCCTACTCCTTTTCTATGTCTCTGGGTCTGTTTTATTCATCAGCTTATTTTGTTCATTATATTCCACATATAAGTGAGATCATGCGGTACTTGTCTTTCTCTGACTGGCTTATTTCACTTAGCATAATACTCTCCAGGTGGCTTCATGACATCTCAACAGGCAAGAGATCTTTCTTTCTTACAGCTGCATAGTACTCCACTGTGTATATGTACCACAGCTTTTTTTATCCACTCATCTATTGATGGACAGGGGCTGTTTCCAGATCTTAGCCATTGTAAATAGTGCTGCTATGAACATAAGGGTACATCTGTTCTTTCTGATTGGTGTTTCAGGCTTCTTAGGATATGATCCTAGAAGTGGCATCACTGGGTCAAATGGCAGTTCAATTTTTATCTTTTGAGGAAACACCATATTGTTTTCCATAGTGGCTGCACCAGTCTTGAAATTTATTAGCCCGGTGACCTGGGCAAGCTACTTGACCATTCTGTGAATGTTTCTTCATATATTAGATGAGATACTAATAAAACATCGAATACCTAATTTGTGAGGGTTGCACAACGAAAGGCATAGAACATGTTGGTCCAGTCCCTAGAATATAAGATGTGCTAGGTATGTGTCTTAGCTTCTGTATTATTGTATTTTACTTCAGCCAAAGCAAAGTTGTGTAATTCTGACTCTATTCTTGTGGTTGAAGAAGGTGGAGGTTCAGCATGTCTAAAAACTACATTATCTGATAACTATGAAGAGATATAGTTTAGACAGAAAAGTGAAGTATTTGATTGCAAGTTATGAGTAACTGGAAAAAATAAGACTTTACAGAAAATTAATCAGTTTTTCCCTTTTCTAAAATAACTGGAATTTAAATTGAATTTATATTGCAATTAAAACTTATTGAATATGGTGCAGTCCTATATATCTCTTGAAGGGTGGGAGCAAACAATCTTACAGGACAACAGATCAGATTTAGTATTTTTGCAGAATTTCTTTCAGATATAGTTGCACCATTATTATCTTCCTTGTGTTGGAGCACTCAAAAATGGAAACTTGAAGCTCATGAGAATGTTGTATTTCATGGGACTTTTTTGGGTGCAGATTATAAAATAATAGATTTTATGGGAAAAAAATAACATGTTTAGAGTACAAAATAAACTGACATATTTTACTTGAATACCAATTTGTTTAGCAGTTTGTAATGAGTCCTGGTCAAGATGTGTGAACTAAAAGTTAGGAGTTACATTTTTAAATATTTTTGAATTTTAAGTTAATAAGACCCTTTTTTTGCTGATGTGATTTTTACCCTTTTCAGAGAAGTTATTGAATAACAAAATTATATCTGAATTAAACTTTTAAAGACTCTATTAGGAGCACAAATTTTTATTTTTTAGGAGCACAGATTTTTAAATAGACCTAACTAGAATGCGGGCAAAGGATTTTCTTTTTCTCCCCCCTGGCTTTTCTATAGTTTGTTGTTGGTGGGTTTTTTTTTGTTTTTTTTTGCCTTCAGGCAGTTAATGAGTTCTAGGTATCTTGTATTCTCCATTTATGAAAGTGGTGGAAATATTATAAAGAACTTTTATTTAGCGGTGTAGTCACCTTTGACAGTGAAACTAACATATTTAATGAGTCATTATAATTAATTGCTTATGAGTTTAGCCATGTGTAACTTTATTGTTAGAGAAATAAAAATATGCACAATACAGATACTATAATGTGGTTTTTCAAAGAAAACTAAAAGAATATTCTTTAGTATATTTTGTTTCATATTGTGTGAAATTTATACTCTTAAATTTCTTTCCAGGAAAAAGTCGACATGTCTGTATTTCCTGTTGAAAATATTAGAAATTTCAGCATCATTGCACATGTGGATCATGGCAAAAGTACTTTAGCTGACCGGCTCCTGGAAGTAACAGGTATTTTCATGTTATATACTTGATGGCAGTGAGTAATTGATAATTACTTTTACCATGCTTTTTACATTTCATTTTAATTTATATGCAGTATTGTTTCTTTTTTAAAAATCTATAAAAATACTGTGTGTTTCTGTTATAGGGACAATTGATAAAACAAAGAATAATAAGCAAGTTCTTGATAAATTGCAAGTAGAACGAGAAAGAGGAATCACTGTTAAAGCACAGACAGCATCTCTCTTCTATAATTGTGAAGGAAAGCAGTACCTTTTAAATCTCATTGATACACCGGTAAGTTTAATATTAATTTTGTCTCCATTGTTAAGGTGAGACTTGTATTAATAATGCAAACAAATCCTTGTTTAGTTTTTGAACTTAACATTAAACATCTAACTTTGCTCTTTGTTTTCTCCTTGTTCTTAGGTTAGTGTAAATTGTTTCACAAGCGTGGGCTAAACTGAAGAAACATTGACTTTTTACCAAGTGGAGTCAATAGATTTGCCATAATGCCTCTCTCTAAAAAAATTATAGCTAACATTTATAGGTATCAATATTTTTTGTTTCTCAGGGCCATGTCGATTTTAGTTATGAAGTATCCAGGTCACTGTCTGCTTGCCAGGGTGTTTTACTTGTGGTTGATGCAAATGAGGTAGGTACCTATAATTTTATCTGCTGTGACATACTATTTGGTTGTTTCAAGATGTTTCCTTAAAATATGTTTTGGAAATAAAATTTTTGTGTTTGAAAAAAATAAGATTTACTGTATTACTTAACCAAAAGCATATGGTTTGGTCCTGTTAATTTGAAGTTTATTATACTAATGTATTTTTGTGTAAGTGACTAGTTCATCTTTAAAAATTTTAAGCTGATCAGAGGAATTGTTCAATAGTATTTTTTGTTGAAATGTGTCATAGATATAGCCTACCAAAAAAACCTTCAATTTTTAACAGTTCTTTTAAAAAAAAAAAAAAATGTTTTTATTGATTTTTTTCTAGAGAGAGGGGCAGGGAGAGAGAGAAAGAAACATCAATGTGAGAGAGAAATATTGATCTGCTGCCCCCTATTGGGGATCGAGGCCAAAATTCAGGCATGTGCCCTGACTGGGAATCAAACCAGGACGTCTCAGTCCATGGAACGACGCTCAATCCACTGAGCCTCACTGGTGGGGCAATTTTTAACAGTTCTTTTTCTTTTTCTTTTTTTTCATCCTCATCCAAGGACATTTTTCCATTTTTTGTTCAGCTAGAGTGGGAGGGAGAGAGAGAGAGAGAGAAACATCGACATGAAAGGGACACATTGAGTGGCTGCCACCGGCACGACCCAACCAGGGCCAAGGACAAACTGCAACCGAAGAACATGCCCTTATCAGGAACCGAACTCGGGTCTCTCTGGACCAAAGGCCGATGCTCTAACCGCTGAGCAAAACTGGCCAGGGCAACAGTTCTTAATCTGAGTTTTTCATATCAATTTTTAGCAAAAGTTGAAAATAAATCTTTATGTTTGAGGTCATTTTGGGTGATTTTAAGGTAGTTTGGGAAGTGTTAGTTTGAAAGAAACTTCCAATCACATTACCAACTTCTTTTGTGTTATAAATGTACCATACAAACATATTCAGTAGATGACGATTATAAGAGTTTTGATATGCTATTTAAAATAAACTTTTGATATATTTAGTTTCTCTCACACACTTCATTCAAAAGCCAGAGATTTTGTTATTGTTTATGTTTTCCAAAGGTGGGGAACCTTTTCTCTGCCAAGGGCCAATTGGATATTCATAACATCATTCGAGGGCCATTCAAAATTATCAGCTTAAAAATTAGCCTGCTATATTTGGTCAGGCTAATTCGGTGAGGCATGTGATGTTAGCTGGTACTAATTTCATGGGCCTTATACAGCCCACAGGCCAGATGTTCCCAGCCCTGTAAAAACCTACCCTGATGGTGTCAGGAAAAGTCAATCTCTACCTTATATACAAAGTACTGGGCTTTATAAACTGCATCACAGGACTGTATCCTACAGTAGGCTTGGATGACTTTGAGGGTCTATATTTCACCTTTGTGTCTCTAAGCCTAACACAGTCCCCTTAAATAAGTGCTTCTTGAAGTGAAAGGAATTTCACAGGGAATAATCCAGATGCATGGAAGTATAGATACAACAGTTTGTCTTATACCTCTGCTTTTGATAAAGATGTGTGGAATGATCTTGATTATAAGTTTTGTGACAGGTGGTAGAAAGAGCATCTCAGTATCCTGTGTCTTGCTTTTTCCAGGGTATTCAAGCCCAGACTGTAGCAAACTTCTTTCTTGCCTTTGAGGCACAGCTCTCCATAATTCCAGTTATAAACAAGGTAAGCGGGAGACAGCAATGCTATTTATTACTTTACTTACTAAAAGTAAATTTAGTGTTTGAATATCAAGTGTACTGTTTTTTTATATGTGGGACTTTCAACTATTTATTAAATATATTGGTGGGATTTCTTTGAATTGCATGTGATAGAATTGTGACTGAAACACCTGTTGGCTTGCATGTAGTTGAGAAGATAGTTTCCCTAAATTACGTGGTGTGATGGAGGGCTGTTTCTGTGGAAATGGTATGCATGTTGGGCAGCTAAAATATATCTGTTTCACTAAACTATATATAGGAAAAGAAAAAGAGTTTGTGATCTAGGAGGAGACATTCTAATAGGTGCCAAAGTGAGCACTGTGAATGCACCTTAACTTTTATTTATTTTTTAATTAATAAATTCAGAATTTTAATTTAAAAATCTGCATTGCATTCAGTATATTTTTTTTATTTTGGAGCTAAGTTTAAAAGAAGTAAGGTTAGCCCATTGGTAAGACAGTTTGTTGTAAGTTATGTCTAACTGAACTGATAAAATCAGTTTACGTGGTGTTACTTGATAAACTGTTGAACTCTTCTGCCTCGCGTAGCTAGCTGACTGCCGACATTTTCGGCATGCTCTGCTCCCTGCCCTCCAGTTTTCAGTGGCCATGCTTGTTAAAACTGTATTGCCTATACCTAGACTGTTTTAATACTTTTGAAAGAAAAATCATAGAGGGGTCAATTATACTTTTAACTACCTGCAAATACTGTTATTTAATATGTAATACACTTTATTGTTATTAAATTAAGACATAATGAATGAATTCCTTTTTTTAAGATAGATCTGAAGAATGCTGATCCTGAAAGGGTTGAAAAACAAATCGAAAAAGTCTTTGATATTCCAAGTGATGAATGTATTAAGGTAAAATACTTTTTTTTTCCAAGATTTGGTTATAATTTTAAAAATTTCAGATAATTGGCCTAACTGAAATTTTAGAGTGTTTGATAGCCCATCATTATATAATGTTTTTATAGTTCTATAAAGTTCTTTTTACTAATATTTCATTTGATCCTCACCAAAAATTCTAATTACATGGTTAAGACCGACAGGAATTATTCTTGTGATAAAGTTGAAAGAAGGGGTGCATAGATTTTTATCACTTTCTTAAGAGTGCAGATCTCATTAGCTAATGTGCCAGGACTGAAATTAGGTCTTCTGCAATTCATTGCAATATTATTTTTGTATGCCATTTTGCCTCTGTGGAAATAATTTTCTTTGAAGAGCACTTTCAAACTAATTTCAAGGCATTTGTATGTTTTCTTGGAATCCACAAAAAGCTTTTTAAATAAAAGAGCTAGCTAGAATAATAATAGTAAGAAACAATAGATATTATTTTTGTCAAAGTTAATACTATATTTTAAATTTGAATTTTTAAATTTACCTTTCTAATGCTGGTTTGGGTGTTAAATAGCTACAAACTGCAATGCTATATGCTTTTGTAGTATGTATGTCAGTTTAACAGTATGATGTTTAGCTTCCACTTCCAATCTTGTTTGATTGTTGCGAAAGCAAATTCAGCTAAAGAGTGTTTTTTGTTTGTTTAACCTTAATACATGGATGATTACATACAACTTGATAATGACTGAAAAAGCAATCTTTTTTCTTTTCTTGGATATACATATACACACATACACAATTCAATGGTTTTTAATATGAAGTGGAGCCTATTATAAGGTAGTCTTGGAATTTTGGTTTCATAACTTGGATGGTGTTATATTAAAGTCTGATGAACTATTCTAGTTTTAATACATCTTTACAAAATGTACTCAGATACTTATTTGGTATGTGTCAGCTAGTGAACAGAAAAGACAAGATCCTGTCCCATTGTGTTCATATTTTACTTGGGGAAGCAGTCATTAAATAAGAAAAAAAAATATGTAAGCATATTAATTATTGAATGAGACAGATGTCAAGAAATTCATTTAACAAATTGCATCGTTTGAGGTAGAATACCATAGTTAACAATAGAAAGATATTTTTTTCTCAGATAGATGTTGTGATGCATAGTAACTTAGGGAATGCCTCTCCGATGAACTAAGCCCTGAAGAAATTAAGACAGAGAGAATTGCATTCTAGGAAGAGGAAAGAGTGTGAAGGCTTGGCATGTTTGGCAAGGGTTGACATGTTTAAGGAACAAACAGGAGGCGAATTAGATGAGATGGCTTTGTAGGGTTAGGCAGGAATCAAGTCACACTGGGACTCTTGCTGTGCTACAGAGTTTGAAAATTATTCTGAGATAGTAAAAGGATTTCAAAGCAAGAGAGGAAATAAACTGATCATTCAGGTTGCTTTACAGAGAATGGATTGGAAAAGAGTAAGAAGAGATGGGGAAACCAGGTGCAAAATAGTGGTACCCATGTATGTGATGGTGATGTTGGAGTAGTATGCAAATTTGATGTGTATTTTGTAGATACAATAAATTTGCTCATGGGTTACATGTAAGGAGGTGAAACAAAGGGAAGAATCAGGGGGCTTTGGGTTTGAGCAACTAATCAAATATTTGTATTAAAATGGAGAGGACCTGGGGAGAAACAGATAAAGAAAGAAAGTAAAAAACTATGTTTTGGACATGGTAGGTTTGAAATGTCTATTACACATCCAAGTAGAGATATTTCGGAGATCACAATTCAGGCTTTCATGGATAGGGCTGGGTCAGAGATATTTAGGAGTCATTAGCATGTATGTGCTATTAAGGCCATGGAAATGGATGCTGTTTCCTAGGGGAAATGTGTAGGTAGAGAAGAAGTCAGACTACATTATTGTCACTTTTTACAGTGTTATGAATAGGACTTTGAGAAGGATTAGAGAGAGTATGCTTCAGAATAGGAGTGTGGAAGGAGTGAGTTTTTAGGTAAGTAGGAATAATTCTCAGATTGTAATGAGAGAGAAGGCAAAGAGAATGCAGATGGATTTGTATATTTGGATAAGGAGGTTTTTATGTTTCACGTTTCCTTAAATGAAATGAGAGGCAACACTGTCGGGGGTGGGACTGCTAGGAAGTGTTGGCTACATAGTGAGATCTATGGTCATGAATTCACAAGAAACCAGTTACAGACCAGTTACTTGATTTTTCTGCAGAAAAGGTTAAGCTGCTCTGGTTAAGCATAGAAAAGCATATAGTTGAGCGCAGTCACAGTTGAAGTTTTACCATCTTCTTATGATAGAGAATAGAAAGCAGTTGAACAGTGATTGTAAATAATGGACCTTGGCGTCTCAGCTGGAAAAGGAGGGTGCGGAGGACTAATGGATAATTGAAAGAAGTAGTCTACTCAGTGGATTAGAGGTTGTGATCGTAAAGGATTTTACAAACAAGATACTAGAGTCTAGAGAAGCAGTTCTCATTAGAGGTTAGTTTTGCCCCCCAGGAAACATTTGGTAATGTCTGGAGGCATTTTTTGTTGTCACGGCTGTGGTGGGCTATACTACTGGTGTCTTGTGGATAGGAGATTCCATGGATGCTGCTAAACATCCTACAGGGCACAGAATGTGCCCCAAAACAGAATTATTCAGCCCAAGATGTCTTTATTGCTGAGATGGGAAACTGATGTAGAAGGAGTTTGAAGGGTAAGAGCTGGTATTCAGGGAATGAGTTTTGAAATCATGATTTCAGAGATAGTCCAGTTACTGGTTATGGCAAAGGTGAGTCATGCACATGTGTTTTAAGTCTTTTGGCTTTTTTAGTGTGAGAATAGTAATACTATGCCTTATAATTTCCTGTGTGCCACCCACATATATTGTTTATTCTATCCACACAACAACCTTGAGATTGAGGCAAAATATGAATAATCACTTCATTTATCAGATGAACTTGAGCTCAAGAAGTATGTATAGGTCATAGTTGTTACATTACATACAGAGGCATGATTTTTACCTAGGATTTTTGAACTCTTAGTCCATTACCCTTTCAACACCATAATCAGAATGCTCTTATAATTTAATCCAAGAACCATAGAAATACCTAACTGTACTGGAAGGACATTTGTCAGCACACTATATGCTTTGTGCTTCCTTTTACAATGCTCTTCAAACAAATTGGTAACTTAGAATTATTATTTTTTTTATCCTCACCCAAGGACATTTTTTTTCTGCGTTCATCTTCAGATAGAGCAAGAGGGAGAGAGGGAGGAAGAGAGAGAGAGAAACATCGATGTGAGAGAGACACATCAACTGGCTGCCACCCACACGACCAGGACCAGGGACAAACTTCAACTTAGGTATGTGCCCTTAGCAGGAACTGAACCTGGGACTCTCTGGACCACGGGCCGATGCTCTAACCACCGACCCAAACCAGCCAGGGCTGGAATTATATCTTTATTCTGATCATAAAGCTCCATCTCCAGGATAGAATAAAGGTAGAATTTTAAGTTTAAATGTTTATTTTTTACGTATATATTTTTAGATTTCTGCCAAACTTGGAACAAATGTTGAAAGTGTTCTTCGGGCAGTCATTGAAAGAATACCCCCGTAAGTCTTTTGTTATTTTTATACTGTTTGTTTACCTTTAATAGTACACAGACCATCAATTTGATTTGTTATTTTAGTGTAGCATATGTGGTAAATAAAATAAATTTTTAATTTTATTTTTAGTAACATATAGAAGGCAAATACAATACAGAAAAATGAGAGAAAAGGATGATAGGGATCTGTCTATTCTTAATCAATGTAATAAGTAGACTTGAATATATTGACAATTTTTGTTCTTTGCCTTAATAGTGAATATATTTGATCGGTTTTATAAGTAACTTTAAAAGTCAGTTATTTAAAACTTGAGGTTTAATTAAAACTAATATGAAAATAGACATTGCACCTTATTTTATAGACAGATCTTTTTATTTTGGCTGTCAATTGTTAGTTATTCTGCAATACTAGAATAAATTAAACATAGTATTTGAGTTAAAAATAAACATTTTATTATTAAGATTTTAGTTTACTATATGTGTATTTACTTTTTACTTATTTTTAATAGTCCTAAAGTACATCGGAAAAATCCCCTGAGGGCTTTGGTGTTTGACTCCACCTTTGACCAGTATAGGGGTGTGATAGCCAATGTAGCATTATTTGATGGAGTGGTTTCAAAAGGAGATAAAATTGTATCTGCACATACTCAAAAGACATATGAAGTTAATGAAATAGGAATTCTGAATCCTAATGAGCAGCCAACTCATAAACTGTAAGTAATCTACGTTAGTAATTAAAATACACTTGCATCTATTTCTGTCTCATCCTTTCTCAACTTGTTATACTTAAAATGATCCCAATTTGGAGATTCAGGAAAAAAAAAAAACAACTGATTATTTAATACAACTATCTAGTGAATGATTTTTTGAAAGGAATCTCATGTATGAAGAATAATAAAAATTTGATATATTTTTATTTCTTTTGACTAGACATAACTAATTTTGTGATCCAGTGATAGAGATAGGATTCTGTATTGGTGTGTTTAATGAGGCAGTGAAAGAGACGGTTCTCTCACCCATATCCATATTTATATCAGGTATCATTTTGACATTTAATTTTTTATAATTAGATTTTCAACATAAAAGTAATGAAGAAAATGTCTTAAATTCTTTTCTTTAGTGTGGAGTTCATGGCAGAACTTCGATTAACAAGAATTACTGCATGTGGGGTTAGCAGGGTAGGTGCACTAGAACAACTGAGTTCTGAGTTCAGCTATAAATATCCAACTGCTGCCTGTGTGTCAGCCCTCAGGTACTGCCGAGGTACATGACCTCGGGCACACAGTTGGAGCTTTCTTTGGTCTTTGTTTCCTTACCTGGAAAAATTAAGATATTGAACCAGGTGACTATTATGGGTCATACTTGATAGTTTAATGTTGTATGTCTACAACTAGCACATTTTGCTTATTACATTTTTTAATTTACTGGAGAGTCATAAAGTAGTTTTTGTTGATTTTACTCAAATATTTCTAAAGTCTGTCTATATTCTGCCATATATATCATATACTGACCTTTACTACAGCGTGTTATCATGTAGATTTGCTTTTTTGGAGGAAAAAAACTAAGCTAAAATTCTGAAATCTTGAGATTTGCTCTTTTCTTACAAGAGGAACATAAAATAGATGCTAATTTGTTGAAATGTCACTTATTTTTCCTTGTTCGTTTTTTTTCTTTTTTAAAGCACATTTATAGCACAATTCACTAATAATGTTTTACATTGCAAGAAGTGTTTTATGTTTCTGCACTTAGGAGTTTCACTGTGTTTACATTTTATTTAGCTGGAGTTTAATATGCAAAGATGGGTGGAGTCATGACAGAGGCCTTAGGTTTGTTGTTGGTAATGGATTTTTAAGGCATGGTATGTTCTTTTGCTGATAATACTTAGAGTTGAGAATTGATATGTAGCTTTAGTTTCAGTTTCATGAGGTTTTGTTTGGAGAGTGATCATCTCCTGGAAAGGTAGAACTTATTGTGAGTATGCACTTGGAACATTAAAACAGTAAATATTCCATATAATAATTTTATTTAGATATGCAGGACAGGTGGGCTATCTGATTGCTGGGATGAAAGATGTCACTGAAGCACAAATAGGAGATACATTATATTTACATAAACAACCAGTGGAGCCCTTGCCTGGGTTTAAATCAGCGAAACCAATGGTATTTGCAGGTGAGGAGCTCACACAGTCAAAAGATGAAGGTCAATTTATTCTGTCATTTGAAAGAAAAATTACTAGAAATACTCATTTTAAATAACAGCTAATTCCAGGATACTCTATTTGTGTGTGTGTACTATTTACTTACTAGCTAATTTCATATGTATAGCAAAATTTTATGTGGGAGATAATTTCCTAAATTTTTTTAGGACTTTTTAAGAAACAAGCTCTCTCATGTATGAAAGAACATGGTAATATGAATTTCCAACTTATTTCCTTAGAGAGTAGGTCGTTATATTTGAATTTTCTTAAATTAGTTTATTACTGAGTACCTTCCCTTTAGCCGGCCTTTCTTTAATATGGTACTAGTGTAAACATGGCAAGAGAATAGTGCCACCTCACGTGGGTAACTTCGCAGTCTTTTACTACTGTGTGGAATTACAGACATTTGAAAAAGAAGACCCGACTGATGGTCATTAAGTTGCTCTGTGCTGGGTGTCCATCTAGCCCTTTTTTTCTCCCTTAAGTATCTCTCATTGTGAATGATGAACGTTTGTGTCCCCATGGTCAGTCATTTGAAGTTTGGAGGACTTGAGAGGTGGGGACTTGAGGTGTCAGATGAAAGAGAATCTGATGAATCAGTAACTTTGTAGTTTTTGTCAGTGAATTGAAAAAAGCAAAATATATCTTTGATTTCAAAGGATAATTTGTCATAGAGAATTAAGAATTCAATGTAGTTTTCATTTCTACTCCTGTTTTTTTTTGTTTGTTTGTTTTAAATCTGTTAATGGAGTCTCATTTGTGGTTGTGGAATGTCTTCCACTTTTGTTTCTTGAAATAAACACAATGTATTTTCCTAGGCCTAATTCCCATGTTTTTTTGTTTTGTTTTGTTTTGTTTTCCTTATATTTTCACAATATCAAAAAAACATCACTTGCAGTATGAATCCAGTTATACATTCATTAAATGCTATAAAACTTGAAAGATTCTTTAGAATCAGTGTAATTAATATTCATAGTTTTTTTCAGCAAACTAACATTTTGGTGAATGAAATATAAGAAAGTTATTTTAAAACTAAATGATTTTGATCTTAGAAGCATTGCATATTTATTTCCCTGGCTGGCTTTTTACATGTGATAATTAGATATTATTATGTCCTCAGGAATGTACCCTATAGATCAGTCTGAATATAATAACCTGAAGAGTGCTATAGAAAAACTGACTTTAAATGATTCCAGTGTGACAGTTCATCGGGACAGTAGCCTTGCTCTAGGTGCCGGCTGGAGGTAAGATTCAGTTACATTGTAGGGTTCCATGTTTATTGAAAAGTTAAGTTTAAGTAGTTTATTGCTCTTGAACGTTTCTGAATATAAGTTCATATTATTGTAAAGTGAAATAATATCTGCCTGTTGTTTCACACTGTGAATTCATATACTATAGGTAAATTTTATGGCAATTTTAAATGGAATCCCAGTGGAACATTGGAATCTTATTTAATGAAATTATGCTAGCATTTAATTATGATATGAACTGATTGAATGACTTTTTATACCACCCCTTCCCCACAAGGTAACAATATATTCATCAAAGAAAATAGACTCTATAGGACATAAACATTTTGGAGTGTGGCTTTTTCTTCCCCAGATTGGGATTTCTTGGACTTTTGCATATGGAAGTTTTCAACCAGCGACTAGAGCAAGAATATAATGCTTCTGTTATTTTGACAACTCCTACTGTTCCATATAAAGCTGTTCTTTCATCAGCAAAATTGATAAAGGTACTATTGTGAACCAGGATACAAGGGAAAACTCAATGTGTGTGTGTGCGTGTGCAGAATGCAAGAGAAACTTGGTACACTGTTAGCTGACTGGCTATTAAAACCAAATATTTTTTTATTAATAGCAATATAAATTGAGTTACCTCAGGATTAATGATGGAGAATCTACATGAGAAACAACTTATAAAATGTTTTACTTTATAAAATATCCATATTATCAATACCATTCTGTTACTGAATTAGTAATGAAAATACTGTTCTAAACCTAGTGTAAAGATGATGAATATATTTCAGTTATAAGTAATTTAGCTTATTAAAAATGAAGCATTCATTCCTACCTGGCTGTAGGAATTTTAGATTTTAAGTTAATGATAGAGATAGCGCTGTATTCCATCTAAGTGGTAATCTAAGTGTTTATTTTAAAGAAATACTAACTTTGGCATCTTTAAGTATTTTCCAACAAAATTAATTTAGGAAACTGATTATAATGCCTTATAAGGAGTGGAATAAAATGTATTCTTATTTCATACTTTTCTAAATAGTATGTGAAATGTCTTTAGTAAATGTGAATACATTGCTTATTAATATTAAATGATTACAGTTAGATTTTTTTTTTTTTTTAAGATAAAGTGGAAGGGAGGGAGAGAGGGGGAAAGAGAGAAACATTGATGTGAGAAAGACATTGACTGGCTGCCTCCTACATGACCCTGACCGGGGCCGAGGATCGAACCTGCAACCTAGTTACGTGCCCTTGACTGGGAATCAAACAAACCCACAACCCTTCAGTCTGAGGACTGATGCCCTAACCTCTGAGCCAAGCTGGCCAGGGCTGAAGGAATTTTAAATCTAAAGCATGTTAAGATAATATTCTACGCTTTAGGGATTCTGTTGTTTTTTCCAACAAATTTTCTGTTGTAATTCCAACAAATTCAGTAACAAAATAAATTCTAACATTTACTTTAAATTAAAACATGGTAATAATTTATTAAGATTTCTTTTTAACTATTGCTGGTATTTATTTACTTTTAGGAATACAGAGAAAAGGAGATCACAATCATCAATCCTGCACAGTTCCCTGATAAATCAAAAGTAACAGAATATTTGGAGCCAGTTATTTTGGGCACCATTATAACACCAGATGAATATACTGGAAAAATCATGATGCTTTGCCAGGTATAAATGTAATATAATTTAATATAAAAATAAATTTTAGTCTTCTCAAGCAGTTTTGAAAGATTTCTCTCTGTGGAGCACACTGAATTTATAACAATTTTTTATAAAGATTTGTATTTATATACATACATACATACATACATATTACCTATCTATATACATGTGGATATAGATACAAATACTTTAAAACATATTTTTATTTAAAATAAAGAAAGAGAGTCAGAATTTTGATCAACTTGGTTAACTTAACGAATTACTATTTTAGCCCAAAGGAAAGAAATCTGATGCTTATTTATCCTGAGTGGATAAAAATGTAATTTCTTTTAGACGTTTTGAGTATCTGATACTGAATGTAGTTTGAAATGTTATAGTAATACTTAACAGACCTTTAATTGGAAGGTGTTTTCCATTTTGCTTTAGTTCTCACCACACTGTAATAAATGACTTATTCCAAAAATGGGATATAATCATAGTCCTTAAAAAATACCTATTTGAAATATTTTGACATATATTAGAAAGAACTCTCAAATGTTGAGTATGGACTTAAATCACAAACTATATAACAGCTATGGTCAGTCATTTAATTTCCCTGGACCAAAGTTTCTTTATTTGTAAAATAAGAAATTAGAACTTTTGACTTTATCTGCAGTTACAATTTGACTTATTATTAAATGAAATACTGTATAATTTTAAAAGATAAAATTGTTAAATACAAAGAATTAAAAGCTTTGTTGTATACTGTACTTGAAATGCAAAATGGTTCTCCCTATATTTTAAATAGTATGTGAATACACTACTTTATCAGCACTTATAAGGAAATATTTAAGTTGGTAATTGATATTTGTCTATATTTGTTTCAAATCATTATTTGAATAGGTGATCATTAAAAACAGTTTTTCCCCTGCCCTTTTTAGGCTCGAAGAGCAGTTCAGAAGAATATGGTATTTATAGATCAAAACAGAGTTATGCTTAAATATCTCTTACCTTTGAATGAAATTGTGGTGGATTTTTATGATTCTTTGAAGTCCCTGTCTTCTGGATATGCTAGGTAAAAATTTAATGGTCAATTCAGATAGTTGAACAATTTTTATTTTTTAACACTGACCAGCAAGAGTATCTTATCTTTCTTTGTATTTAAATAGTACTTAACGTGGTATCTTTCATTCAGTAAATGCATAATGATATTTTTTGAGTAAAGAAAGGATTTTAGAAACTCTTTAGGCAGTAGTCTGGTTTTAGAGAATATTAATATCACCTTGCAACTGCCATGGTTTAGAAACCAAACATATTTGCACCTGTAGGTACCAGTTTGTTTTAAAATTGTGACAATAGGAATATATATGTTCTTCTCCATAATTGGAAAGACATGTAAGCATAATTGAAATTTTTTTCATTAGACTTCCATTTTGTAAATTAAACCTGTGTTTTGATTAGCATTTTAAACTTTGACCATATTATTAATATTAATAGCTGACACTAACTGCTTATATGTGCTAGACTAGACTCTGTTCTAAACACTTTTTAGGAACTGTTCAAATGCTTTACATGTATTAATTCATTTCATCCTCAAAAAAGCCCTGTGAAGGTTCAAACTGAACAACTATATCTGAAATCCATAAGTCTCATTTATCAATGGCTATTTGTCAATGCCCTAGCATTTATTTGATGGGAACTGGAATACTAAACAGAAACCCAGCTTACAAATCTGAGAATGACCCATTAGTGTATACTGTTGTCTTCAGCCAGCCAGCTGCTGGGAGGCAACATTGGCAAGAAGGTGACATTTGCTTCCAATGATCATTTTCCTGGACTGGATTACCATTCTCTTTTCCTGCCCCCTTTAGAGCATGCTTTCCTGCCTTTGCCCCTCATCTCGCAAATGTAAAGAGATGGCAAAATGTGTTCCTTACTATGATCATTTAGCTCCATTAATCTAAAATGTATATAACATTTTGATGGAAAGTTAAATCTTTTGGGGGAAGTATGGCAGTGTAGAAAAAGGATGTTTTGAAAAGAAAAAACATGTAATCTATTACTTGGACATTTTTTTATTGTTAGTTTTGATTATGAAGATGCAGGCTACCAGACTGCGGAACTTGTAAAAATGGATATTCTGCTGAATGGAAATGTTGTAGAGGAGCTGGTAACTGTGGTACACAAGTAAGTTGAATAGAAACTAATCATGGAATGTGAAAGTAACCACTTTTAATATGTTTTTATTTAGTTAATGGTTGCTCCGTTTTATCTGACTTACCTTGAAAACTTAAAAGTAATTAATTAGCCCTGGCCATTGTGGTTCAGTTGGTTGGAGCATCATCCAGTACACCAAAAGGTGGCGGTCTGACTCCGGGTCAGGACACATACTTAGGTTGGGGGTTCCATACCTGGTCAGTGCACGTACAGTAGGCAACTGATCAATGTCTCTCTCTCACATCAATGTTTCACTCTCTCTCTCTTCTCTCTCTTTCCCTCTCCCTTCCTCTCTAAAAAATCAGTAAAAGCATGTCCTTGGGTGAGAATTAAAAATAAAGAAATGTTGCCCAGCTGGTGTGACTCAGTGGTTGAGCATCGACCCATGCACCAAGAGGTTGCTGGTTCAATTCCCAATCAGGGCACATGTCCAGGTTATGGGCCAGATCACCAGTGGGGAGCATGCAGGAGGCGGCCAGTCGATGTTCTCTCTCATCAATGTTTCTCTCTCTCTCTTTCCCTCTCCCTTCCTCTCTCTAAAATCAATAAAGAAAATAATAATAATAAAAAAATTTTTTTTAAGTAATGAAATTTTCCTGTACTAGTTTTTTCTTCCATTTGTTTTCCATGTTTCTCTTTCCAAATTATTAACGTAGACAAAGAGACTAAAGTTAACGATAGTCAAAAAGAATAGTGTCATGGGAAGAAATGTTTCCCTTACCAGGTAAGATAAAGTGAAATAAAATGTTTTTTAAACCTAATGATAGGTTTAGAATTGAGAATAGAGTTTATCTTAAAAAATTTATAATAGTGAAAAATAAATACCCTAGATGTTCAATAAATAGCTGATTGGTTAAAATAAATTATGGCGCCCTGATATAGTTCATTTGAAGCCATTAAGACCATATGTGAATTACTATTTAGGGAAATAAAAGTGCCTAATAAAATGGTAGAATAAACTACAACAAGTAAATAAATATACGTATGTAGGAAAAGAAGGATATATGTTTAAGATATACGTTCCAGCCCTGGCTGGTTTGGCTCAGCAGTTAGAGCCTCAGTCTGTGGATTGAATTGTTGAGAGTTTGATTCCTGGTCAAGGGCATGTGCCTGGCTTGCAGGTTTGATCCCCAAACCTGGTGAAGGTCATGTGGGAGGCAGCCAATTAATATGTCTCTCTCACAAGAATGTTTCCCCCTCTCCCTCTCCCTCCCACCCCTCCCCCCTCCCTTTCCTCCTCTCCCCCTCTCCCCCTCCCATCCATTCTATCTAGAAAGCAATGGAAAAATATCTTTGGGTGAGGATTAAAAAAAAAATAAGATAAACATTCTATTGTGATATTTCAGTGATTATTTACTGGTGACAGGAAGGACATCAAGAATGGTTTTTATTCTCTCATGTATGTTTTTCTATATTTTCTGTTCTAGATCATGTTATTTTTGCAATTAGCAAAGTTGTTGATTTAGAGAGTGATGTTTATGATAAAAGAGTTCCATTTGAACCTCCTTAAGGAATCACCTTTACATTGATTATGTATATGGACTAGAAAGTTACTTAAACATTCTTATTTAGTATAAGTAAATACTTGAATTTTCTGATTCAGAGACAAAGCACACACTGTTGGCAAAGCCATATGTGAACGTCTGAAGGATTCTCTTCCCAGGCAGCTGTTTGAGATAGCAATTCAGGCTGCTGTTGGAAGTAAAATCATTGCCAGAGAAACGTGAGTTGAAATTCATTTTTGTTCCTGATTGGTTACCCAGAAAATGAAATACTAAAAAATTCAACTTAACATTAGCCTAAGCCAGCGGTTTTCAACTGGTGTACCACAAAAATTTTAAAACATGCAATACCTGACTATTTAGTCAGGAGCACTGACCTCTTTTCTTCTAGGTTGTCAAATAAATAAAATGACATTAACCAACACAACAGTAACCTTCTGGTGTGAATGAATCAAAATTATACCTAGTTTTTCGGTCAGATCTGCCAAAAAATATATTTTGGGGTGTGCAGCAGAATTCTAGTTATTAGTTTATGTGTGCCATGAGATGAAAAATGTTGAAAATCACTGGCCTAAGCTTTACTACTTGACTCTTAATTCCACTAATTTAAGTGATGACTTACTTTTAATTATTTATATAACACTTTTTTATGATATTATTTACATTTATTAGTAAAATATATTTGGGTTTGAGCAATTACCTTATTTCCACTAATTTTATTGAATGACTATTGAATTTCCTGGATATTTCTTTAAAGTTTTTATGGTTTTATCCCTTCAAGTAAATTATAAACTAATAGAAACTGAAACAAAAAAGGTTTTAGAGATATTCTTCCAAAAGACAAAACTAAGTTATGATTTTTACTCAAAGCATTCCTCATAGCTAGTCAGGTTGTAAATCAGAAAGATAAGACAGGAATGCTAGCCTCATGTTAGGCTTTTGCATTCTTGAATACAGACCACATGTGATGCCGGAGACGTGGAAGATAGACTGATGTGAGCAAGAAATGTCTTTGTCATGACACATCATGTATAAATCGGAGCTCTGAAGAAGGTGCTGTGCGAGTAACAGAAAGGGCAGGGATTGTCTTGCAGCAATTCCTTTTTTTTCTTTTTGTCTTGATTGTCTGAATACTTGTGGAAAATCAGAAGTAACTCCTCGCTTGGAAATTGCTATTCCATTCTTATCTAAGCCAAACCATGTCAGTAGTGATGAAATACAACCATGATTGTTACATAGTCTTGGAATAAATTTTATACCAATATTTGCAATGAATTTCATTTTCTAACACCATTTTGCTTTAGAGTTGGTTTTGTATTTCATGAATACCCAGAGATTAGGCAGAATGGAGTTGATAACCTGGGAACAGCCTGGAAAGTGCAATTTAGATAGTTAACAGACCTAAGTGTTGAGGTAGACAATAAAGAAAAAATAGATTTTTATAACCTTATGGAATACATAAAAATGGAGCTACTTTCAAATTTCTTATCCTCCAAAATTCTCAGCAACATTATAGAAGTAGTTAGTTTATAACTGCTTGGATGGATATATTAAAATTTAGTGTACCCTGCCCTAGCCGGTTTGGCTCAGCAGTTAGAGAGTCGGCCTGTGGTCCAGAGAGACCTGGGTTTGGTTCCCGATAAGGGCACGTACCTCAGTTGCAGTTTATCCTTGTCCCTGGTTTGGTTGTGCGGGTGGCAACCACTCGATGTGTCCCTTTCACGTAGATGTTTCTCTCTCTCTCTCTCTTTCTCTCTTTCCCTCCCTCCCTCCCACTCTATCTGAACAAAAAATGGAAAAATGTCCTCAGATGAAGATAAAAAATAAATAAAATTTAGTGTACCCTAAAGTGGGTTCTATAAAACTAATATATTCTTTATTTTCCTAGTAACTGTTGACCCACGTTAGGTGCATTTGGTAATGAAATAATCATTTTTTTAAATTAATTTGTAAGTATAAGTGGTAGTATTTTTAGGTTGAGCCAGAAATGACCTTTCAGAATTCTTATAATCAAGGTCATGCCATGCTTGAATTTGGCCTCATCAACGCTACCCACAGGTCTTCGCCTTTTTATTCTTAATGTACGTTGGTACTCATGAAAATAAAGTGGAAGCCTATTTGAGCTACCTAATTATTTACTTATGGCAGTTTTACATAGGTCTGACAGGATCATTTAAATCTTTAATAAAGGAGGAGACTTTGAAAATAAAGTACTTTTAAACAGTATAATGAAGTTATATACTTATAAAATGTTCTCTTTTACAGTGTGAAAGCCTATAGGAAGAATGTCTTGGCAAAATGTGTATGTACCTACCTGTGTTCTACTTTGTAATAATAGTTCTACTTTATGAGTTTAAAATTAAGGGGGTATAAATATATTGGTTTCCATTGCTGGTTTTTATAATACCCTTTATTTCATCTCCAAGGTTTTTTTTTGTTTTTTTTAATTGGTAAATGTCAACCTAATTATGATAGCATATTTCATTTTGACTATGTTTTTACATATTTTTCATATTATTTGGAATACTAAGAAAGTATTTTATAACAGTTATGAACAGGATAACACGTTTTGTTTAATTTATAGGGAAAAATTTTGAAGACAATGTCTAAACAATGGGGACAATATGAGATTGAAATCCACCTCTCCTATATTGCTTTGCCAAGTTTTCTGTCTCATTAAAAAAAGTATTCTTAGCTCAGTTATTATGAGACTCAAATGATAAATGCTATTTCAAAATCCTCTGCATAGCAACTGGTACATATGCCCATGTATGTTTCTGTATTAGACTACAGCTATAGAACCCAAAATGTCAAGCCTTGAATCAGTAAGGAGATTAGTAGCTCTTTCTTGACATGCGTAATGTAGTACTGGGTTTCCTTGGGGATCTTCATCTCCATCCAAAACCAAATAAATAAAGCCTTTATCATTTTTGAAGGCAGGAAAATTGGGATCTGCTGGGAAGAGGACTAGAGAGGTATCCGCAGATGTCTTCCTCATGGACTCATGGATAATAACTGTACAGTTCTTATATTGATGTCAGTGTGTTATTGTTTGAATACTTTTCTATGGAGTGATCTGGACTTCCAATTTTTAAAATATTTTTCAGTATGGTGGTGATATTACCCGAAAAATGAAGCTTTTGAAGAGACAAGCAGAAGGAAAGAAAAAACTGAGGAAGATTGGCAACATTGAAGTTCCAAAAGATGCTTTTATAAAAGTTCTGAAGGCACAATCTGATAAATAATTGGTGCGAAATATAAGGAATTTTTGTGAATTAAAAGTTGTGTATCTTTCGTGTTTCTTACAAACTTATAGTATGTTGACAACAGAATGAAAATTATAAAATTTTCTTGTTACGTTCAGGGTTATCAGATTTAAATAACCTATTGGCTTTTCTTTGAACAGTAGTAGTGTAGTGAGAGGATAAGAGCTTGGATTCTGCCCGGCTGGTGTAGCTCAGTGGATTGAGCATCCTCCCATGGACTTGAGAGGTCCCCGTTCAATTCCCAGCCAGGACACATGCCCCAGTTGTGGGTTCGATCCCCAGCGGGGCTGTGCAGGAGGCAGCAGATCAATGTTTCTTTCTCACATTGATGTTTCTCTCTCTTCCTACCTACCTCTCTAAAAAAATCAACAAAAAAATAAATTAATTTTAAAAAAAGAAATAAAAAGAGCTTGGACTCTGAAGCCATATTGTGTGGTTTCAAATTTCTGTTGCACAACTTACTAGGAAGATAAATTACTTACCTCTCTTAGTCTGTTTAATCTTTAATAAAATCAGATTATACTGTTACTTACCTCCATAGGTTGTTAAATGAGAAAATATGGTTCAATCACTCAGAAGAGTGCATGACACATAGTAAGTGTGCAATAAATCGTAACTATTTTGTCCTCATGTGTATTTTTTCCGAAAAGGCCCCATACTTAAAAATCTGTGTAGTTCAAGCTCATGATAGAAAGTATCTTCAAAATCACCTTAAGTATCAATTTGTTGTTAGGTGGATAAATCTAGATGATGATACAGGCATCAGTTACTAAGTGAAGTCAAATAACACACTATCTAGATGTGCTGTAGTTTTTTATAGAGAGTTTATAAATGTTGCTTTGACACTAGGTTTACATAAGGATGGAGCAAAAGTAGGTTTATAATTTGTATGGAAAATGATACAATAATGGAATAAACTGTGTTTCACATAATCACAACTGTAAACCTACTTTTGCCTCACCCTATATACATTTAAGTTAAAATAAGGATAGGGACTGTCTTATTTCTGATCATTGAAATGCATTTGTGTAAAGCTATAGACAGGGGTTTGGTATTAGCAGCAGCTGTTAATGACAGTTTAATGACACCAGATTTCATAACTGAGACTGAGATTTACTCACTTGAGGTCACACAGCTAATAAAAATTTGCTGTCTTACTTCAGAGCATGTGCTCTTAACTCCCATGTTTATTCAATGAACAAAATAGAGGGCTGACTGGATTACTGTAAAAGATCAAATACAGTCGGACCCTTGAACAACGCAGGGGTTAGGGGCTCTGATCACCTGCAGTAAAAAATCCACGCTTAACTTACACTGGCCCTCTACATATGCAGATTCTAATTGCCAGTTGACCCTTGGCCAATGCCAGTTTGAACGGAGAGGGTTCACTGAACTGCACAAGCTAATAGAAAAAAAAATCTGTTTGTGAGTGGGCCCACCCAGTTCAAACCCTGGTTGTTCAAGGATCGAGTGTAATATAGCTGTTGATTTTTGTCCTCCACCTGGACTGAAATGGATGAGGTAATGTCTTCTAGGGATAAGACTATCAATGAATTTTATATTATGGTTATTACATGATAATTTTAATCATAAATTAAGGTAGTGGGGATTTAGTTAAAATTGTGTATAGGAGTTAAATAACTTGTGATTTTAGTCCTAGTTAAATTAGCTCAGATATCTCTGCTGTCCCTTTTAGCTGTAATGAAATAGATGAAATATGAGGCTCCATGACAACAGTATTTTGGAAAAAACTATATTTGAAACTAGAAAAGCATTTAAATACACTTTCTAAAATAGTGTTCTGTGCTATCATTATTGTTAGGGAAAAGTTAAAAAGTTGGTACTGGGTACACAGTATGCACCATGTATTTGGTATTTTTGCTTTATTAGTGTGTTTTCAATTTGGATACATTCTCTTCTTTTAACCTCTGACTCTTTAAGAAATAGTTTTACTGGTAGTAATAATGGTACAAAAAGTATTTTAAAAAAATTTTAGCATAAGTTTAAGTTCTCTTCCTTGGCCATGCTCTCAAACAGGTGATTTTCATGATTTAAAGTTGTATATTTTCTAAGCATATCCCCCCAGAGGACCTTATATAGCTAAGAAATTTGGAAACATTGAAATATTATAAACTATGACCTGAGTATTTAGAATGCCACCATTTATTGCGTTTACTATGTGATACCTATCGCGCTGAGCTCTATAGGCATTCGCTCATTCAGTCTGTACAACAATCAAGGTGCAGGGACTATTACCATCCCATTTTATACGGGAAGAAATTCAGGGTTCGTGTTGTCCGACAACACAGTTCAGTCGTTTCTCCAACCCCAGTTAGCTTCCGTGCTTTATTGCCTCTTGTGGAAATAATTTCAATAGGTTTCTTAGTTCTCTCCTCAACAGCAGCTTAGCCCTTGTTCAGGAGCTACAGTAACCAGAAAGTTCACTGAGAAGCTGTGGTACATGGACCTAAATTAGCCTCCTAACATCAAGGGCAGTGATGGAAAGATCTAGGCTGTCTTTCAGTTAACACATTTAAAGACGGTAATAACTGGTGGACTGTGCACCAAAACAGGTACCTTTAGCGTTTTCACTAAGATACTACATGACCTTCTAAGGTAGTTAGGCGGTTTGCAGTAACCAATACTTAATTACCAGGTGTGACTGGAAGATGATACTGATTGACTAGTCATTTACAAACCATTTACAACACCTAAGGCTATTACAACTTTAGTATCTGGAATTAAAGTAGTATATTTTATCCTAACAGTTTAATTTATGTTTATTTAACTTCTAATTTATTTGCAATTTAAGTATTTTAAGGAACTTAACTGTAAATAAATTTCAATCACAAAGGCAATTAAGCAGATACATAAGTAATGCTGCTTATAGATGGGCTTATAACATGTAAAATATTCAGAGGAAAAGGGAGTATTTTTTACTCTCCAAGGAGTAAGACTACGAAATTATAGGCAGAGTCACTGTCTTTTAACTTAGATCTCCTAATTACATGATAGCAATAAATAAAAAGTTAAATGCAGGCTCAACGGCCACTATTAATTGTTGGAATTTCTCAGATGCATGTGTTCAATTTCACTTCTGGAAATAAAATTTAGATGACTTATATTTGTTTGTTATAAGCTTTATTAGAGTTAAAGATAGAAAACAATATACTTTTATTTGCAGTTTAATGATGCAAGTTCTTATGGCAATCTAAAATAGTTTACAATAATTACTTTTATATATATTTAATTATATTATCCTTTTAGACACATGTAAAGAATAAAGCTAATCATTTATGAAGTTTAACAATAATCAGAAAATTTTATTTAAAAGAATTTCCTTAAGTGTGTTACTAGGTATAAAGCTCATAACTGCCAAAATACTTATATTAAAAGCATGAACTCAAGTCATTAAATAAAAACAAGAGCACATTTGTAAAAAAGGTGCACAAAAATCATGCCCTTACACATACTTTCCAGAAGGATGTATATGTACTTTTAGGCACTGTCTTCTCCAAATTTTCTGTACCTACAATATATAGCAGGACCTCTGATGTCCAGATGCTACTGCAGGAAGATGACTAAGGCAACTACGTGCAGAAAGCTTGTGTAATGCACAGGAAAATATAAGATAGCATTTCAGAAGTAAAGGTTTGCAATGATAGTTGTGTCTTCATGTGATTAAAAAATAAAAATCTAACAATGCCACTGGAGTCATATGGAGTACTTGATGTACAGAATCATCACCTTTAAAATGTTTAAACAGGCAGACATTTCATTTCTGTGCTATTTTTATAGAGCAGCTATGTGACTCCTGTACTTTAAAATAAACAGCTGATTAATTATGAGAGCCAACGACTTCTCCTAAACCCTAGTATAAAATGGACACATTCTAAATATGGAATGTTTAACATATGGATACTGGACTTTAAAAGTGACGATCTTTAAAAATTCCCCATGTTTTATCATATTGCATAGCTGCAAACTCATCTATTATAAAAGTCCTGTTCAGTCAAGCAGAGTTTTGCTCCAGTCTCCTTCAGTTTCCTTCTTTCATACTGTATAGTGGATCCACAAGTTTATTGTGCACATGCATTAAACCTTAAAGAAAAAAAGCACAGTTCTAGTTGTATTTTAAATTTTGAATTATATCTCATTTACTTTAGAAAACCAAAGATTTTATAAGATAAATAAATACATAGATCCCTACCTGATACAAAATAGTTTATTTAAAAAAATACAAATAGAAATGTTTCAGAACGTTTAGTGTTAACTACCTAGTAAATCAATTTACAATTATTTATGAATCTAGATCCAGAATGTGTACAGGTTCTTTCAAAGTAACCAGAGCAGAAGCAGTCCTGTCATCAGAGCTCCAGTATGACAAAGAAACAAATTTCAATACTGACTTGTTAATGCATTTTAATTACATGTAAGTGTTGAGTTTGATCCTCGGTCATTTCCTCTACCAGACTCCAATGAAGGGCTCAGAACTGTTGTTACAGTGGGATGGCCTTGCAGGACCTTAGGTCCCATCCAAAATGTCTATGGAGATATTTAATGCACACCAAAGGGTCCTTTAAATTTGGTCCTATCAAAAATGTCCATGCTTAGACAACATCCTGGGTTCAAATAGCCCATAACGTGTACACTTTTAGTTTACTGAATTAATACATCAAAAATACCTTTTGGCATAGTCCAGATATCTCCATGCACATCTTGGACAGAACCAAATATTAAGGACCTTTTGGCATGGCCGAATGTCCCACGGACTTCGCAGAATCAAATGTCCACTAATCCTAGGACAGCTTTATATCTCCAATAGAATAATGTATCCATTCACCTGGCTGTTTTCCACTGTTTTGACATGTATATTTACAATAGGTGTTGATTACAAGCCATACCGAGGGAGCTTTACTAAAATAATACAGAAGAAAACTTCTATTAAAGGCTAATTTCCAAGTAGATTTAAATTTTATCTTATAATTGGTATACCTATAAATTTTCTATTAAAGCTTCTTGGGAAATATTTTCCAGTTACTAATGTCTTAATACATACATTTCTTTGTGGAAAACAAAAAGATTGTCCCAATTAATGAACAAAAGATTTTGTGTTTTTGAAGTTAAAGAAATGAGTTACGTTTTCCAGATTGTTAAGAACACACGGGCTGGGGAAAGGGGTTCATGATGTAATTTTCTCAGGAAATGAGATTACTGAATTGGGGAGGCAGGGTACTTGCTTAATAAATAGATGATGATTGTCAGAAAAGCTGCAAAACCACTCTAAAATCTAAACTGTGAGGAGGACCTGCTTTTAAGTAATAAGCAAAGAGCACTGAAGTGTTCATGTAGTAGAGGGAAAACCAGAGGCGAAGAGTCTTAAAAGGAGAGAAGAGAGAAAATTTATTAGTGCATCTGAAAGAGAATGCTAACAACTCAGCAGCCTACTTTGTACCTTAAATTTAACGAGGCCCAGACCCATTTGTTCCCTTCCAGACCATTTCTTTTCAATGACAGGCTGAAGCCACACCACTAAATCCACTGTTTGTTTTTCCTCTTTTCCTTTTTTAATTCAACAGCACAACCAATTTGCACTACAGATTCCCTTTTGACTCATGATGGGGTTACCTCTCAATAAACTCATAAATTGAAAATATTTTAAGTTGAAAATGCACTTAAATTACACTGTAGAGTGTGAGTTGTTTAGCCTCATGATCACATGGCTGACAGGGCTGCTATGAATCACAGGCGTATTCTACTGCATACAGCATCCCAGAGCTAGATCAAAGTTCAAAACACTGAATGCATATCACTCTTGCACCATTGTAAAGTCAAGTGAGAGGGATTGTATTTTCAAACTATATTAAAACAGAAACTGGATTATACTATTTCCCTATTTAAAATTCTCCAACTGCTCTGGCCACTTAGAAAATAAATTAGATTTTATTCTGTTGTCTTTGTTTATCCTGCTGATCTCATGTCCTCTCACTTTCCCACTTTTATGCTGTACTCAACCCTAGGTTTGTTGCCCCTGAAAAACTAAACTTGGTTCCAGTGCAGGAACTTTATGCTTGCTGTTTGGTTCAGTCTGGAATGCTCTTCTCCTTGAGCAAAGTATGACTGACAGGAGGAAAGGAGAGGAAGGAGACAGAGATTCTGTAGTTCATGGTCCTTAAGTTAGGACAGGAAAGGATCAAGGGCATTGGCAGAATGGCTGGACCTTAGAAAAGGATGTAGGGTAAATTTAGAATCTAGAAGTAGGACTGTGGAGGGACAGATATTAAGCCTTCCATGCAGCTAGAGGAAAAGAAGGGTCAAAAGGTTAAAGTGAATAATGGAAAAGTATAAAAACTGCAAAACATGGAGCAACAACTAACCCAGGGAATAAAAGGATTTTTGTATAAGTTCCAAACTAAGCATAAAGGCACCTGACTGGCTCACCCTCCACCTCAGGTATATGGTAGCCACTTAGCTATATGGCCTTATTTATAAAAGGGAGCAATGTCAGCTCAAAATTTCAAAACAGAAAGCAGTATACTCAACATATTACATAAAAGTCTTATAATAGCCTGGCTGGTGTGGCTCAGTGGACTGAGCATCGTCCCATGGACTGAGAGGTCCCTGTTCGATTCCCAGTCAGGGCACATGCCCAGGTTTCGGGGGGCTCGATCCCCAGTGGGGGGGTGTGCAGGAGGCAGCTAATTGATGTTTCTCTTCCTTCCTCTCTAAAAAAAATCAATAAAAAAATATATTTTTAAAAGTTGTCTTATAATGATGTTAGGTTTATATATGTCTAAAAGTATTAGATACTTGAATGTTTACATAGTGATAGTTCCTATAAAGTTATACAACCTCTCTCCCAAATGCTTACTAGTGCTTTGAAGACAAAAAGCCTGTGATAAAAATCCATGAATATGTGGACAAACCAATGTCTATTTCATTCATTAGACTGTTCTATGCAAAGCTATCCCTGAAGCTGGATTTGAAATACACTGACTTATTGCTCAGTATGTAAAACTATTTTTCTCAGGGTTAATAAAACCCCCTCCCCATATCCTTTTGGTACTATACAGGCTGCTATGGGCCAGCTGGCGCGGCTCAGTGGACTGAGCATCAGCCCACGGACTGAGAGTCCTGATTTGATTCCTGGTGAAGGCACATGTTCATGTCTCAGGCTCCATCCCCAGTAGGGGGTGTACAAGAGGCAGCCAATAGATGTCTCTCTCTCACATCAATGTTTTTCTCTCTCCCTTCCGCTCTCTCTAAAATCAATAAAGGGGAAAAAATTTTAAAAAGGCTGCTACAATTAATTCTGCACCTTTATAGGAAGAGATTCACTCTTGGATGTTCAAATGTAAGAGTTCTGAGGGAAGCCAGAATAGAATTAATCCACAAGCATTTTTTCAGTGAACATTCTTTGTATGGTTTAAACTAAACTACCCTTTTGCCCATGGCCTACATTCTAATACTGGGATTTTCAAGATTTAAAAAAACCAAAAAACTAAGATACTATCCTTGTTTAAAAGAAAAAAAAGTTAAACACTCCATATTTAAACATAACAAGAGTTAAACTTAGAATGCAGGAAAAAGGAGTCAACACTGAACCAACTCTGACTCCTAGACTGATGACAGAAGCTGTCCACCTGAGAGAAATCAAGTCTAGTATCAACTCAACCTGGAATCCTAGGATACGACAGCTAGAAAATCTCCCACATTAACATATAAACATATGTATGCACATGTGCGTGCACATATATATGTGCATTTATCTGAGGACTGTCTTTTTTCTCCTGATTTTCGAGGTTGTCCATGACCCAAAAAAGGTGAGCCACTGACAAGCCAACTCTGGTTTGCCCTTTTGCTCTTAATCTACACACTCCCTTTTGTTTTAAAGGACAATCTAGCCCCACTTTATCAATACACATTAAATGTTCTGTGCTAATAACAGGAACTTTTTCTGCTACTATGTTAGCTCATCCTTCCATCTGTGGTTCCAGGGCTCTCAATACCATCAGCTCAAAGTTTCCTTTAACAACCATTTAACTATAACTCTCCCTCACTCAGTATCCTTGAGCCTTCATGGTAGGATTTACATAATATAGCACTTAAACTGATGGGGTTTCATAGTCAGGTGTTCATCCATCCACCTACCTGTCCAACCACCCACAACTGCTCAAGTGCCTCCAGTGTACCAGGTGTACTTCTAGATGCTGAAATAATGTAGTAAACAAAACTAATGTCCCTGCCTTTGTGGAGTTTAATTTTAATGCAATACATTACATTTTATTTTCTCAAATCACTTAATGAGCCAGCTTTTATGAGGAATGTCAACTACTTTTGGCAAGGATACTTCTTACACTTTTTATTACCCTGTGTTAGATAATGCACTAAAGGCACTTTAACCCATGTTTCTTGGCTGATGACACTAACTGTAAAATACAATTTACATTTACCAAAAATAGATCTTAAAGGGTAATGTTTAAAGTGCAAAGGAATATCTGCTAATGAAAAAGATTTATCAGATGATATCTATAGACAGAGCCAATCTTACTTAATACAGGATTTAGCTTCAGTGTTTAATCTATTTCACAATCCTTATATAAAGAGAAGTAAAATGGAGACTAGAGAGAGCCAAGAAAAGAGGGCACAAGACAGTGGTGATTTTAACCATGTGGTTCAGAAGATGTTTTGTCTTCAAGAGGATCATTCTACTTGATACAATTCATCTATCATTTTTTACAGCTTTGATCATGGACAAGAAGACATTTAAACTTTAAAACAGAACTTAAAACATCAGGATAAACATTAAAAATTCAACTCATCATAATTTTTTTTTAACTATGGGTTGGCTATAACTTTTATACATAAGATAAGGCTGCTTCCCAACTAGAAATCTTGAAAATCTTATTACTTGATTTTTGGATGATAAGTCAAGAATTTACTGACTTAAGGTAAAAATTGATTAAGTTCCTACCCAAGGATTTGATAAAAATAATTGCTACTTAAATCATAAACAAGTAAATTCTTCTAATGAGTATTGATAAAATTTATAGACATCCTGACATGTTGCCAGAAGAAGAAAAATTAAGTATCATAGACTGGAAATGTCAATTTTATGGTTTTGGCTCACTGCGAACTCATCCAACCTCTGTCAAGCTATTAGAGTAGGACCTAAAAAGGATGGAACAGAAAAAAATTCTTCACCGTGATATGATGTCTTAAAATATATTATCTCAAGCACATACAATGTAAGTTTTATTTTAAAAAGCAAAAACAAATTAAGTATTAAAAACTGTTTTCCTGTGATATACTTTTATCTTTCAAAAGATATATATTAAAATAAACTTCTGTTATTTACTGTTTAAATGTTAATCTACATTTTCTTCAGGAGCTAAATAATCAAAGCCCTTTAATATTCATGTTCTACATTTTAGTGATGGCAGAAGGGTAGTGATGTGAATGGGATTTGAAGAAAGAGATGATAATGGTAGGATTCATATCCTCCGGTACATATTAAAGTGATATAACTCAGTGAGGATAAGGCATATATAAACTACATTTATAATATGCCTGAGTTCATGAATATCAATTATTTTACCCTGTATCAAAACACCGTACTTTAAGATGAGGTCTATACACAGCCCAGAGCAGTGTCTCAGTCCCACTTTTCTCCACACTGGAGGAGCATCCGGACCGAGCAGCTATCCTGGGCCTTTCCAGCAATGTGCACAGCTCCAAGGGGAAAACTGTCCACAGAAAGGCAATGCAGCAATTCTCTCATGAGAGTTGTGCACTTCAAAATGTTTCAGAAAAGCTTAGAACCTGGATAGGTGAACTGAAAGAACTAAATACACACAATCATGTACTTCTCTTCTGCTTTAAATTATCTTTAACATTATGTCTATACCTTTTTGGAAGTACTTTAATGTAGACCATACCACAGCCAGAGCTGACTCTTCTGTAAGGCATTACAACAGTGGACTAAGCTCAGACTCCAGGTAAGCCTGATGTCATTTACCCAGCTAACTGCATATGAGCCTTGTAACTTTGGGTAAGTGATTTAACAAGTACCCACTTCACAGTATTGTGAGAAGTAATAATGAATTCAGAGTAGCACCTGGTCTTATAGGTAATGGCAATTATTAAATATCTTATTAAATATTTACTTCACTAAAATATAAAAACTTCCTTATAAAAAACAAATTGACAAAATCAGACAAGTACAAGGGTTTATCTGAGAATTGCTGGCACTAGAAAAATGACAATGTTAAATGAATCTCCTTAAAACTGTCATTAAAATCTGTGGATAATGAAGATTCTTTCAAGTAATCTAACATCTGAGATGAAATCGAAAGGAGTATGTGGAACTATGGGTAACACTCCATCCAAGAGCTGTCTTTTTCACGACTCATCACTGACATTCTCTGCTTTTATTTGTTAAATTACTAAGAAGCTAAAAAAAATTTCAGTTTATTTGATATATTTGTGGCTTGCTAAAAACAAAAACAAACAAACAAAAAAACTGGTATTTTACCTGATAAAAATATAAATGCCTGGAAATAATCCAAATTATGATGTCTACTTGACTATTACAAAGCCATTAAAAATAATTCTGAAGAATTTTTAGTAAAACAGAAAAACTTGCACAACAATTAAGAGCAAGTTACAAAACAATATCCACATGATCAAATTTTGTTTTAGAAATTAGACTATTTGCCCTGGCCAGTTTGGCTCAGCAGTTAGAGCGTCGGCCTGCGGTCCAGAGAGACGTGGGTTTGGTTCCTGCTAAGGCACGTACCTCGGTTGCAGTTTGTCCCCGGCCCTGGTTGGGTCGCGTGTGAGGGGCAGCCACTCAATGTGTCCCTTTCATGTCAATGTTTCCCTCTCTCTCTTCCTCTCTCTCCCTCCCACTCTATCTGAACAAAAAATGGAAAAATGTCCTCAGGTGAAGATAAAAAAAAAAAATTAGACTATTTTAACTGTTTGCCAAACTTTTATTTGTGTGTCACCTTCCATACTTTTAACATTCACATTTACATCAACTATGAGTTCCTGGTTTGCTTTAAAATGACATAATTTTTAAGTTTATTCACTATATTTCATGAATATGGAAGGCTGAAGACACACCATTATTTTATGCGCCACTAAGGAAAAAAAATGCTACCAGATAAACTATGATAGGACACCAATTTTAAATACATCCCAATTATGGACAAGATACAAAGGGGGAAAGCATGTGTCTAGGAGGTAGTAAAATATGCTAACTCCTTTAACCTTGATATCCATGAAATATAGGTTTGATTGGTTCAGTGTAATTTTTCTAATACATGTTAAGTAAAACCTAGTTACCAGAGTAAAATGTAAACTTTATATTCACATACTACATACTTTATGGATTAGTCACCTATATGTATGACCAATTACACAGCATTTTCATATCAGCTATATAAATACAGATGCTGATAAAGATTACCTATTTATATAGCTTGTTTATGTGTGCCATTCTCTTAAGCAGGGAATGAATGGCTTCTAATCTGAGTGAATTCAGAATTTTCCTTGAAAATCTCTTAAATTACCCATTACATCAAGCATATGTGGTTATACATCTATAACCTGGTATAATGAGGTTCAAGGTTTACTGAACTAGACTGCAGGAAGAAGTGAGAGGAAAGTACGCGTGCAAACGTCCGGGAAATCCAACTCCTGCTCATTTGTAGGGTTTACGCCAGACTGTTTGATACTTAACCATTACAACTTTAATATAAAGGAATCATTTGTTTGAAATTGTGAAGATTAACTGAGCTGGCAGACAACCCACCTTACCCGCTTATTAGATTCTAAACATAGCTTGGGGAGGGAGGTGGGACAGATAGAAGATCAGAAAGGACATATATATCTACACGTTTCCTTTGTATAATTTAATCCTGTATACTCAATATGAAAGTAAATTTTTTATTAAATTTTGGATTTCAAGAAAAATCTTATTTACTGAAAATACAGATTGAAGAGATTCTCCTCATGAAAAAAATACAAAACTATCTGAAAGCTATTATATAAGGTGAGATATTCTTTGAATATCACTTCTGTTCCTAGAAAGAACGGGCTACTGTGTTAGCACAAGGCCAGTTTTTAAGAGGCCACAATGCAGGATGAACTACACAATCACAATAAATTTTAATTGTCTTCTACAATGGAATAGTCTCACATTCTGCTTTTGAAATTTCAATGCTCACCTTTAAAGTATTTCACAGTTTTAACTCTTAATTCTAAGGTAGCGTCTTCGTCACACACAAAAATAGTTTGGGGGTGCTGCTGGAAAGCTGAGACAGTCCACATGTGATTGACGCCTTCTTCTATCGCTTTGTAGAGAGCAAATGCCTTGTGTGCGCCTGTGATGAGGATCATGACCTGGAAAATCATAAACATTACTCAGTAATTCTTAAAACATTCCACACAACTGAGAAGCTAAACTATTTTTGTTTTTAAATAAAGACTTTAGCACCAATATTCTTCTGAGGATAAAATAAAAATAAACAGCTCCATATTTCTTCATGGTGCAAGGTATTTATTTCTATTCTTTAAGGTAACAGACAAGCACAAAGTGTATCTTCTGGTTTAACAAAGTGAAATATTATTTTGTTATAAAACATTACTGAATATACCTTAATGCCTGATTATTAACATTAAATACTGCTGAGCATAAAAGACTGATGTGCAGAAGACCTGGGAGAAAACAAAAGGGCTGTTTTGCAAAAGCAGAATTACAGGTCAAGGAAGAACTGTTCTAGTGCAGATAAGCAGTAAACATTACTTTTAAAAAGTGAACTAGTCTACAGAAAGAAGCCTGAAGACTGTTTCACTGAACATGTGTATCTAAAGTTGTCTTGGAAGAAAAGTAGGTTTCAAGGATCTGGGATCTCCTGCCCTTTAAGTACACATGACTGAGAATAGCCTTATGAACTACAGGAAGTCCAAGCTCTTGGTTCCAAATCCTATGAGATAATTCAAAGAACATGAAAATATGAGTGTGTATGTCTCAGAATGAATCTTTTATCATTTTTAGCAGTAAGCTGATCCTAAACAGTTTATATAATAAATCTTTAAACATTATTTTTTCTCATTTCAATTGCTAAGAAATAAAATTTAAGGTTCTTGCGATTATAAAATATCCATAACATAAAAATTCTGCACATATTTTATAACCAGACCTAAAACAGGGATAAAATTAAAGATTAATAAACCAGCTATTCCTGTGTTCCTTTTGTCAAGATTATTTGCTTTTCATTTTGAAGCTACATCTTGATAATAACAAAGTCCATGAATGCATTAAGATATGTCTGAATTTCTACTAATATTTTTATTGATACCTGTTCTTAAGTATAGAGAGCTAGGCTCAGTGAAGAATTTAAAATAGCATCACATTCAATTAAAAACTTTTTTTTTTTTTAGAGAGTGTGAAGGGAGAGAGGGAGAAACATCGACGTGAGAGAGACACACCAATTGGTTGCTTCCCTCACAACCCCACCCAGGGCCAGGGATTGAACTTGCAACCCAGGTACCTGCCTTGACCAGTATCAAACCCGCGACTCTTCGGTCCTTGGGCCAACGTTCTAACCACTGAGCCAAATTGGCCAAGGGAAAAAAAGTTTGTTTTTTAAAACAAATTAACTATGTTTGAAATAATAAGCACAACATTGAATAATAGATTTGTTAGTTTTCCTTGCTAGACATTATTAACCCATTATTTCTTTTGTTAAGACTAATACATGTGTCACAGAGGAGTTAAAAAAAAAGGCTCTTTGCTTCATCTTGCCTTCTAATTCAGAATCTTTGAAGTTAGTACCCATGAATCAGGGTCCCTTAAGTGATTATTATGCAATCTAGCAGAAGTCCTTAGACTAGCACTTGAAAGTCCCCACATAGCTACTTTAACACACACTTCCATTTTAAATGAAAATATCTAGTGACTGCTGCATGATGAATATTTTCTAAAGCTTATTTCAGGACTTACCCAAGGACTAGGTAAGGCTATGATAAAACAGAAGTCTAATTCCAGTGTCCCTATCCGTAACAACTACATTATGTGGCTCTTGCCAGAGAAATTGCTAAAAGGTCTACCAATTAGACATTGTGAGTTAAGAGTCTTTCATTATTGAAGCAAAGAATATAAAAAGGCAATATAATGAGAGATGGCAACAAATTTGAATATCAAATGTATACTGAAAAAAACAATAAAAAGACTAACATTTATTGAGAAAGGGAAGATATATAGTGATGCTAGCATTAGCTTTATGAAGGGAGTAGGAAGCAAGCAAGCTGGTGGAAACGTGTGGGGTGATGAAGAACTACTTATCGTGTGTGCATGCCCAAGACACAACCACCTTGTACTGAGAATTAAATATCTGGAAAAACAGAAATGGAAAGAAATGCTTTCAGAATATAATTTGACATTGATGTGTGCTTAGTTCTACTCTACCTCCTCTACTATTCTCAAGAAGGGTATTTCTCATATTTATCATGGGAAAGCTTTACAGTTGCTCCTATCTGAAATCAAGTCTTAGGGATGATAAGCTCCACAAAGAGAGTATTTCAGACAGTTATGGGTGGCAAATACAAATTTGAATTTGGTAAGGCTGGAGCACAGGGAAATGAAATGGTTGAAAACTGTTTGAAATCTGATAATACAGAGCCTTCTAATGCCAGACAGAAGCTAGACTTCATCTTCTGATGGAATGATAAGGAATCAAGAGAATCACATGGATGACCTATAAACTGAACTACGCTTTTTGAAAAAATTCTATCAGGCTATATACAGAGAACAGGATAACTACGCTTTGGGATGGTTTGCCATAGTGATATAGATCTGAATTAAGGCAGTTGTGATACAGGGCGGGATCCTTTTTTGTCTCCAGGTTTTCTGTTAAATAGTTGTTGAATACTGATTGTGTGACAGGCAGTGTGAGGTGCTGGATATATATGACCAATAAACTCACGGAGCTTATAAATTAAGAGATGAAACACTATTAATTAAACTAGTAAACCTAAGAAAGCAATTAAAAATTGTGGAAGTGTTCAAGAAAAAGAATAGAGTGATATGAGAGAAAATAAAGTAATTTTGATTATGGTCATGAAAGGGAGCTCTGAAAGTTGAGCTGTTTTAGCTAAGCAAACCTGATGGAAAAGGAGAGCCCTTTACACACACTGTCACTGTTAAGGCTTCAAGGCAAGAGAAGAGTGATAATTGAGGGTAGTGACCTGTGTGGTTCCTTATCCAGCTGACAAATCCCAAGTCTTAAGGAAACCTATAATAATTTCCAGGGTATCACTTCCAGGATGTGTACATAAGTTTCTCATTATTTGAGTTGCCAGAGTGTGAAGATATATAATGATGTACTGACTACTTAAAAATGTAGTTTCCCATACAAACCTACTTCCATTTAACAGTAGCATCTGCCCTACAGATGGATTCGAAATGTAAGTATTTTGCTGTTAATGAAACTGAGAATGAAGAACAGTTCACATCACAGTTGAAACCACTGGCAAATGAAAATCTGTACACATTAAGCCCTACAACTGAAGATCAGAAAATAACATTAAGTATGACACGATACTCGTTTCAAAAGAACACGATAAAATAGTCAAAGCACTAAGCCCTTGGGAAAATGATAAAGTCCTAGAATAGTTCTGCCAAAATGATTTTCTTTTTTCCCCACAGGCAATTTTAATTTATTTTTCTTTTCTTCTTTTTATTGCATGTATTGGGTGACAGTGGCTAACAAAATTATACAAGTTTCAGGTACGTGATTCTACAGTACATTATTTGTACACTGTGCTGTGTGTTTACTACCCCCAGTCAAGTCTCTGTTCATCGCCATTTATCCCCCCATACTCTCCTCCATCTCTCCTCCCCCATTCCCCACTGGCAATCCACCACACTGTTGTCCATGTCCATGAGTTTTTTTTCTTTGGCTCAATCCCGCCACTACCCCCATTCAGCCCTCCAACCCCCTTTCCCCTTAATTATGCTGAGAATAAATGACCTCATATAATTTTGTTTGAAAAATTGACAAAAAGAAAAAGAATATTTGAGTAATTCTCTGTTCAATCTGAAAATCAGCATAAGAATTGCATTATAACTTAAATCTTGTTAAAGGTAAGAAATATTCACATAACTTTCAGTTTCATATTTTAGAAATAAGATTTCTCTAAATGTTTTTTTCAAAATAAATTTCAGTCTTTGAAAGATTTTTCATATACTGATGACTTTTAGATGAAAAATTCCTACATTCTGAATGACAGTTTGATTTGTAAGTTCAAATCTAGATATACTTACAACAAAATTAGTTACTTATTCATCATTCCCTTGTCTGTACTTTATCCTCTGAAACTGTCTCATCTGGCTGCCAGAAAGGAATGGAGTTTACGGTTTCCATATTGTTTTACCACTTATAATCATGAGCTGACTATAATTTGTTGTGCTATTCTCAGGGAAGATGACAACCCAATTAAAAATTTTAAAAATAGCCAAGATCTGGAAACAACCCAAGTGTCCATCAGCAGATATGTGGGTAAAAAAGGTGTAGTACATTTACACAATGGAATACTATGCAGCTATGAAAAAGGAGGAACTCTTATCATTTGCAACAGCATAGATGGACCTGGAGAGCATTATGCTAAGTGAAATAAGCCAGTTAGAGAAAGACAAGTACCATAGGATTTCACTCATATGTGGAATATAATGAACAAAATGAACTAACAAGCAAAACAGAGACAGACTCATTGATAAAGAGCAGGCTGACAGTTGGCGGGGGTGGGGTGGGGTGGGGTGGGGAGGTGGAGCGATAGAGCCAAAAAAGAAAAAACTCATGAACAAGAACAACAGTGCAGTGACTTATTGGAGGGCGTGGGGGGGGGTGGAGGAGGGTATAGGAGGGATAAATGGTGATGGCAGAAGACTTGACTGGGGTGGTGAACACACAGTACAGTGTACAGATGATGTGCTGTAGAATCATGTACCTGTAACTTGTATAATTTTGTTAACCAGTATCAGCCCAATAAATTAAATAAAAAAAGAAGAAAAAGGACCTTATTTATTTAAATTCTAAACATGGCAATGAGACTGACAAGTTATTGAAAGCTAGACGATTAAAAATGTGATCAGGATGCAACCAAATTATCACTAATTTGGCACCCTAATTCCTTCAATATCTATTGATATCAAAGAAAAAACATTAAGGAACATATAATTCTTACTTCTCTAGCATCCATCACTGTCCCCACACCAACTGTTAGAGCCATAGTTGGCACCTTTGATAAATCTCCATCAAAATATTTAGCATTTGCCAAAATGGTGTCCATTGCTAGAGTCTTTAATCTTGTCCTTGATACTAAACTGGATCCTGGCTCATTGAAAGCGATATGACCATCTGGACCAATTCCTTTAAAAAGAAATACACACAAATATAGATGAGTAAATAAGGCTTTCAAAATTCAACATGTCTTTAAGAGCAAAGAAATGGTAATAATCATGCTTACCTTATTTATTTGATAGCTGAATTTCTAATGCTACATTAAAATATTTATTCCTGTATTTGATGCAACAAGTACTTCAATGTTTTTCATATGCTTAGCAATTAACTAGCATGATTCCTAGAGCAGTAAAATTAAGTATCTCCTTATATTAGAATAATACTTTACATTATAAAGCATTTTCATATGCATCATCTCAATACCATATATTTAACAATCATGTGAGGGAGATTAGGCATATCTATTTCCCTCATCTCCCCCACCTTTTGTTAAACTCAAAAGGAAATGCTAAAGGATAATATATGACTTGTTTAAAGTAACAATTTAGTAACAACTAAGATGACTCAAATCTAAATTTTCTGATTCCTACCCAGTGGTCTTTATACCCTTTAACTGGCTTGGTTCTAGTCTAGATGGGGCAATTAACTCCTCCTCCTCCCTGTAGTATAGTTTTCTTACTTATAAAAATATCTAGACTGAACAAGATATTACCCAGGGTAGTAGTTTTCCTCAAACTTTTTGTTACTGTAACCTCTTGTAAGAAATACATCTGATGCTGCAATCTAGTACACACACCCATACACACATAAATATAATTAAAACAAAACTGCATGAAACAATACCCTTCCTCGGAGCCATACAAGCCCCTGTGGATTACATTCCATTTCATTCACAGAACATACAAAAGGGAATGTGACTGACTATATTGGTTTTATGACTTAATATGGGTGACAACCAACTGTTTCAATATCTACTGCCAGCTCTAATATTCAAGGAATGTCTCTAAAACTCAGGTAAAAATATGACATTCCATATTTGAAAAAAAATTAGAAGTATTTTTTATAAAATCAAGCAGCTTTCTATGGCATAATGAATCAAGCTTCATTTGCATGTACCCTACCAGTCAGATTTCTGGCAACCTCAATAAAAAATGAAAACTCCTGTACTCATTCCTGCTACAACAACATCAAAATTACAACTAAACTACGGAACCACCACCATTCCGAACCGCCTGAAATCAAGCTGAATGGAAGTCCTACAACTACAAAATTAAAGAAGCCACATCAAGATGGGTAGGAGGGGTGGAGGCGCAGACAGGCTGGTCCCATACCCACCTGTGGCGGATAAAAATCAGGAGGCACACCTCCGTTGTAAAGGTCCTCCCTGAGGAGAGATCTGTCCCACACCAGGCCCCCCAGCTCAGGGTTCCAGTGCCAGGAAGAGAAGTCTCCATAACTTCTGGCTGGAAAAGCCACCAGGGATTGAGGCTGAGGGAGGCTGAGGCTTCTGGAGTCACAGGCAGCTCCTCTTAAAGGGCCCACATATGGACTTATTCAGACTCACTCCCTCCAGGCTCCAGTGTGGGGGAGGCAGTTCAAAAGGCACCAGAGACATGTGAGGAAGAATGGAGTTGTTTGGCATCCAGGTGAGAGCTGGAGAGGCAGCTCTTTCCCAGACAGACATGCTGGCAGAGGCCATTATTCCTTTGGTGAGCCCTTCCCCCATGGACCCAGCAGGCAGGTGCCATATCCAAATCTCCATCAACCTGGCCCACACTGTTTGCTCCACCCTGGTGATTCCCTGAGGCCCTGCCCCTCCCAATTTTCAGTCCCACCCAAGCTGTATCCAGTGGCTTTACCATAGGATTGGCCTATCTGGGCTCATGATTCTGATTTTCCTAAATTCTCTCAAACAAGCATCATCTGGCCTCAAGGAGCCCCATACCTCTCACTAAGTGGCCCCAGGCCTCACACTAGAAGCAGTCAGCCTTGGTTCACAGCTTGGCTTAACCTGGGCACCTCCAAGCCCAGCACAAGCAGCAGTCATTGGCAGATCGCTTTGTAGCTTATTCCTGGTGGCTCTGGGTAGAATACAGGAAGTGGTTGACCTTGCCCAGAGCCAGCACACCCAGTAGACAGCTTTAGACCACGTCAAAGCACTACCACCCAACCACTTCCACAAGCAACACACTCAAGGAGTGGACTCAGTGGGTACTGGAGCCCTGCTGAGGTAAGTCTTGCTCTTTGTGGTGGGCCCCTGCACTGCTGATCCTCCAAGGTATTCAGAGGTCAGTGGTGAGTGGACACAGTTGATCAGCCTGAGTAAATCCCTCCCACTGATGTGCCAACAGCAATCAAGATTCAATTACAATAGAAGGGTGTACCTCGAGGGCCCAGCTGGGAGATCAGGGAGGCTGTGCCACTGGACCCTATAAAACACCTACTATAATGGGCCACCCTATGAAGCCTAAGAGACACAGCAACTCTACCTAATACATAGAAACAAACACAGGAGGCAGCAAAAATGAGGAGACAAAGAAACATGTCCCAAATGAAAGAACAGAACAAAACTCCAGGATAGAACTAAACAAAATGGAGATAAGCAATCTAACAAATGCAGAGTTCAAAACACTGGTTATAAGGTTGCTCTAAGAACTTAATGAGGAGTTCAAGAGCATAAAAAAGACCAGTCAGAAATAAAGGATGCACTAACTGAAATAAAGAATAATTTACAGGGAATCAATAGTAAATTAGGTAAAGCCAAGAAGCAAAACATTGATTTGGAATATAAGGAAGAAAAAAACACCCAATCAGAACAGCAAAAAGAAAAAATAATTCAAAAAAATGAGAGTGTAAGGAGCCTCTGGGACTACTTCAAGTGTACCAACATTCATATCATGGGAGTGCCAAAAGAAGAGAGAGAGCAAGAAACTGGAAAACCATTTGAAAAAATGATGACAGAAAACTCCCCTAACTTGGTGAAGGAAACAGACTAACAAGTCCAGGAAGCATAGAGAGTCCCAAACAAGATGAACCCAAAGAGGCCCACACCAAGACACATCATCATCAAAATGCAAAAGGTTAAAGAGAAAGAGAGAATTTTAAAAGCAGAAAGAGAAAAACAGTTAGTTACCTACAAGAGAGCTCCCATAAGACTGTCAACTGATTTCTCAAAAGAAACGTTGCAGGGCACAAGAGTGTGGCAAGAAATATTGAAAGTGATGAAATGCAAGGATTACAACCAAGATTACTCTATCCTGCAAAGCTATCATTTAGAATCAATGGACATATAAAGAGTTTTCCAGACAAGAAAAAGCTAAAGGAATTCATTACCACCAAACCAGTATTATATAAAAGGTTGAAGGGTCTTCTTGAAGATGATCAAAAATATAAACAATAAAATGGCAATAAATACATACCTAGCAACAATCGAATCTACAAACAAAATGAACAAACAGAACACAAACAGCCTCATGGATACAGAGAACTTTTTTTGGTTGCTAGATAAAAGGGAGGTTGGGGGGATAGGTGAAGGAAGAGATTAAGAAGTACAGATTGTTAGAATGAGGAACCAAAGGAAAGCGAGGAGGGCAGACAGGAAGAGTTAAACCAAAGAACTTATATGCATAACCAATGGACACAGACAATAGTGTGGGAAAGGCAGGAGGGGGACAGGAGTAGGGAGGAGGCTTTCAATGGGAGAAAAAAGTGGGGGACGTCTGTAATACATTCAACAATAAAGATGTTTAAAAATATTAAATCCACTGGTTCTCTGAGTCAAATATGTTATATTTGTAATCTGCATACTTACTTTAATGACAGATATGTATATTTTACTGACTCTTAACATAGAATTCTGAGAAGGTAAAATATGACAACTTGGTTTTGAAGGAAGAAGAAATAAATGAAAACCTTAGGAAGTATATACTACTACCAAAGCCCAACTGGAATTTTTAATGAGGAGGCATGAAGCCAGACGTAGATGGGGTTAATATGTATGGATTGTTTCCATTATTAAATATCTGCTTGTAAATACAAGTTTTAAATTATAGACAGGCATTTCTCTCTAGATTTGTAAAACTATTCTGTTTCACCTCTTAAGTATATGTCTTCCTGCATATTTATATTTCTCTATATATGTATAAAGAGGAAGGGTTGGAACCAAGAAAAAAAGTTCTGGAAAAAGAAGCCCTCCAAGATCAGTACTAGTAGTCTCACTGGTGACTGGGTCATACAAATATGTACAGCAAAACTGACATTATCAGCAATGGTTCATGATGGAGAAGGGTCAATACATTCCTTTACTGACCACGAATAACTATCAGATATTGAGCTTCCTAATATAAAATTGTATTTTTTAAATGTGCATAATGTTTCACAAAGCTTTCTAAAACTTTCTTTAAAAAAAAAATCATGGAATCTAAAAATGATGGCTAATTCTTATTCAATTTTTAAACTGAAACTAAGATATCAGAGTCTTTATGAAACATCTCTAAAATCTCAGTCTGGATTATCTAGGGTGAAGCAAAAGTAGGTTTACAGTTGTTTGTATGAAAAAGAATACAATAAATAATAATAATACAAAAATAAACTCTGTTTCGTGTACTCAAACAACTGTAAACCTACTTTTGCCCCAACCTTATGTCTTTCTTGTGTGCCTATAGTTCTGTGAGGTAGATTGTAAACTTCATGAAATTAAAAACTTGATCTTCTTCATTACTATATCCTTACCATTTAGAACAACACATTGCACACAGGAGACCCTCACTAAACAATGGCTGAAGAAATTAATGGATGGTTGCTATTTTTGATATGCTCATAGTTTCTCCCTGCTTCTTTTACCCTGTTCTGCTCCCCTCCCAACAGGGGTTAGAACAATCCTAATACCTATATGTCTCTTAGGCAGAGTGATTATGGTCTAGGGATAAGTAGTTGTTCCACCCTGAAACAATTAAGAGTTTCTCTCCTGAAATTCTGATACCAGGGGTACAGAAAGAAAAAAGGCATCTAGAGCTGAGGCACTGGATGAAAGCACAGCAGGAGAGGATCGAGGAGTTCCTGCTTTGGAGATCTGTGAACAGTGCTTGTTCTTCCAAAGACTTGGTTTGTTTTTTTTTCAAATCTTCTATCAATTCTGTGAATTACTTAGAATCATTCCAATTATTTCACTTTTGGTCTCAGTAGATTATTGTTACTTGCAAACTAAAGTATCTAATCATGTAAACCAAAGGAAGTGTTAAGGTTTTCCACACTGTCTTCTTTTTAAAAAAAACAAACAAACAAATTATCTTAAGATCATTTTAAAGTTAGTAATGCCTTTGGAGTGTATTTATGAAATTCCATGTTTGTGTACTTTATTGCTGGAGTGGATCAGGGATAGCATGATATACCTTTTTCTTTCTCTCAACACTTTTGTCACCAGATGAAGAATGAGAACTTCAGAGAGTACATTTCCTCCTTTTTCTTTTCTTCTGAGGGAAGGGGAGGAGCTCCTGCTGTATTCTCCAGGAGTGAGCAAGGGTGGGTTAAAATTCTTAAATTCCCCTTTTTGCCTCAAACCCAACCTGCAATCTCTAATCCAACTTTACCTTTAATAAAGCTGATATTTTGATCCCAATTGGCTCAGTTCTTAGTGTTTTTATTAAAGAAATCCTGGAACAAAAGAAGGGTAAGTGGTAAGACCCAGATACCAAGCCTCATCTTGAAAATCCAATAATAACAAACCTAGCTCAACAAAGGCAAAGAATCAAATGAGATTCTTTCATGAGTACACATTCAATAACAGGGTATCCCAAATAGGAAAAAGTTCAATGAAAATGCAATAAGCTAACCCTATATTCCCTATGCACAGAGTAATTACGTCCTTTGAATGATAAATATAAACTCTCAGACCCTGGACTATCACATGACTACAAATAAAGATGTTAATGGAAGAGGCAAGAAAATCCTCTTAAACTTTTTTGTCAGGGGGAACTACTACAGAAAGCTTAAGACAAAAATCAGTTAGAAAACAAAGTAAATGTCTTTTTAGTAGTACAAGTCAGTGATAAATAATTATAATGTATGTACCATTTGTTTGCAAGGGAGAAGTAAGGTGGCTTATAATGAGAAAATGCACCAAAACACCAAAACACTTTAGCTAAAAGGAAATGAGAAATGACTTAAAGCAACGGGAAAAGAAGCAAGTTCTACTAGAAATCTTTGATAAAGGAGATTCAGCCTTAAATATTATGTTAAGGTATAAATGCTTTCTGGAAAGCAAGCAAAAGGACAAACTAGAGCTAAAGAGTTCTTATCAGTTTTTTCCCCAGTAAATTCCTCACAATGAGTCCCTAAGGGATATGCCACATGGATCTTTCTGTAAAGTCAATAAATTAATAGAAAAAACAAGTCTTCTATGAAAAAGCAGAAAAAAATTTTTTTTTCATGCAGCCATTTTTAATAATAAATCTCTAATAACATGTTTTGTATAACAGTAAATAAGTGAAAACATTTCTTGAGATAAGTAAAATAAACAGTTTAAGTATATACATATATTTCAGTAATCCTACTACTAGATTTCGGAGTTATGAAAGTCTAAAGAACACATGGGTAATGCACCTACTTAAACATTCCCAAATGTCTATTGCCTTAGCCTTGATACTGGCAAACGCAAATAGTAATTATCTCAGAATTGCGCCACATGGACCAAAGTGGAGTGCAAATGTTTTCCAGAAATATTGAGGTAATATTAGCAAATTCTATTTAACACACATAACTTTTCTATTTTGAAAAGAAAAATGTCTAACTTGGATTCTTGCTCAAACAAAAATCATCCTATATACAAAAGAAAGTAATTAATATTGGTTCTAGGACCTAGGCAGAGATAAAAAATTTCCTTAAAGAGATTATTTCAATCATGCTGGATACCTATATAGGTAATTCAGTATAATAGCAGAACATTTAGTAAATTAAGGAAGAATTATTTCAGCATCTATAGTTCAGAGAGAAAGAGAAGACTAAACTAACACTTAATGGAGTACCAACTACATACCAATCACTGTGCAAAGCATTTTATACATGTATTAGCATGGTTAATTCTCACAATTATAGAATGGTCAACATTAATCCTGTTTGACAAATGAGTTAATTATACTGAACTTCAATTAACTTCCCAAGGTCACACAGATAATAAGTGGCCAAAACAGGATGCAAATTTATGTCTGATTGTAAAACCCAATTTCCCCTAAGGGCAACCAGCCCTCTCAACCATACTTGGCCACCTCAACCATAAATTAACATCATACAGCTCTACTGTAAATCTAATTCATGTAATTCAGCAGTCTTCTAATAAATCAATTATAAGATATATCCAGAGAATTTAATGTTAATTTCGAACTTTAGTGTGTTTAGCTGAATACCAAAGAATCTGCCAAAAAACTACCTTAGTTTTAGTGTAGTTGATGTTATTCTAATATTACCATACTATTTTGATGGTAATGAATTAGCTGCCTCATATGCTTCATATTGATGACAGAAAATAATGTTGTCATTACAAAGTAAGAAACTCTTCCACATATTTTTAATGATAGTTATGCACTCATAAACACACACACACACACACTCACATAAATTTCAAGTGAAATTAAGTCACTTCAACATTTAACCACTTTGGAGTTTATTAAGATAATTATACTGCTTAATTCATATTAACTAAAGGCTGCTGATAAATAAAATCTTACATCGTTCTTAGTTGATTTCTTAGTGAGATAATGTAATTTAAGTGACCAGCACAGAAACGCTAAAATGCACCTGTTCCACATGCAAACTTTTAGAGATTTAACCCTGTAATTTGACAAGAAAGCTGGGTTGGAGTTAAAGAATAAAATAAGCCTGATACCGTTACTATACTTTTAAAAAGAATAATTCCTAAGTATAAGCAAGTATACAGTGTTAAAACTGTCCTAATTGTCCCATAATTGTAAAAAATAATTCTTTAGTTGTTAAGTCTCTTTATTGAAGCATAAATTAGGGTATCATGCTTATGTGTTTTAGAAAGTCTTTAGTTTTAGATATATATTTAAAATATTTTAGGATAACATCATATGATTTGGAAAATTTTGTTTCAAAATAATTGAGGGTGCCCTGGCAGTGTTGCTCAGTTGGTTGAGCATCATCCTATACACCAAAAAGTTGCAGGTTCAATTCCTGGTCAGGGTACATTAGGGAGGCAACCAATTGATGTTTCTCCCTCACATCTCACATTGATGTCTCTCTCTTTCTTTCTCCCTTTCTCTCCCTGTAAAATCAATAAAAAATATCCTCAGGTGAGGATTAAAAACAATAATAATAAAAATAATTGAGGGGGACAAATTGTAGATGGGGATATAGACCAAAAAAAAAAAGACAGAGAGATCTTGAATTTTTAATTACTAAAGCTTGATGATAGTCACATGGAGGGTCATTACACTCTCTATTTACTAAATTTTGTATATGTGTGAAATTTTCAAAATAAACAGAATTAAAAACAAATAAATAGGATAAGACTATCACTTAGGAAAAGAAACACATCACTTGTTTTGTAAGGTGTAGTACGCTGACACTGTCAACTCTAAAGAGGTAATTAGAAGAATTTGACAGGGATTGGGACCTATTTCTAAAGATGTAACTTAAACAATTTCAAGCAAATTTAAGATTATTTTTTATTAAAATAAAGTATAACAGAAATTAGTAGATAAGTGTGTATTATAGGTAGTAAAAGGTGTTCTTTACACTATAAAATGAATGGTAAGATTTTTTAAATTAATAGCAACTAATGCAAATATTAACAAATGATTAATGACAAAATGTTTTACATACCTCCAACAAAAAGATCAATTCCTCCAGCTTCTTTTATTTTACTTTCAAATGCATCACATTCTGCTTGTAAATCTTCAGCATTCCCATCAAGGATATGAGCATTATTAGGATCTATATCAATATGCTTAAAAAAGTTATTCCACATATAAGAATGGTAGCTTTCAGGATGATGTCTGGGAAGTCCTAAATATAAAGTTAATAAATAAAAATGTAATTATTTTCTAAATGAATCTAAAACTTTTTCTGATTAAGCTCTACATACTATTTAAAATATATAATTTTTCTATACCATGTTCAATTTAAAAGCATTTTTATGTGGAACATATACTAGACATTATTTTAACTACTGTACATGTATGCATTAACTCAATTAATTTGTACATCTATGGAAATATTAGCACTCCCATTTGATTAATGAAAAACAGAAAAGTTAAATACTTTTCTTAAAGTCACATAGCTCATAGAGGGGCTGGAATTCAAAGACAGAGTCCATGTGCATTTAGTCACTATACTCCATTTCTCAAACACGTAAAATTTTAACTAATGGAACTGATTTATGTGTTAATCTCAATATAAATTAATTAACCATACAATTAAAATATTGGTCCATGTTCCTCCTGTGTTCTTCCTATATGCCTGCAAAGTATATCAAATCACCACAGTTCTTTGGCTATCACACTACCATTAAAATGTTTTATTATATTTAAATGTTAACAGTTTATATGCATCGCAAATGTTTCTAGTTAAGCAAGTTCACAATCAATAAATTATAAAAGCTTCACTTGAAAATAAATAAAAATATCCTTATACTTGGAAAATCTTTACTAATTACTTTTACATACATATTACTTTATTTCCTATAATAAGACTGGTTTTAACTTGGCCTTAAGGAAAAATAAAAAAGCAAATGAAAAATGAGAACAGAGTAGATCAAAGTTACAAGACTGTTAAACTGCAGAATTCAAGATGAATATAGATTTTCTGATTTCTAGTCCCATATTCCTTCTTACTATATTTTGCTATTATGAAAAGATAGAGATTTGAAAAAAAAATTTTTTCTTTATTGATTTTATAGAGAGGAAAGGAGAGGAAGAAAGAGAAACAGCAATAAGAGAAAACATCAGTTGGCCGCCTCCTGCATGCCCCCCACTGGGAATTTGGACCGCAACCTGGGCATGTGCCCTGACTGGGAATTAAACCTGTGACCTCTTGGTGCATGGGTCGATGCTCAACCACTAAGCCACACCAGCCAGGCAAAAAATATATATTTTTTAACTAATAATCTCCCAAATGCATCACAAGGCTATATATTATAACTCCAGAACTATATTAATATTATATTCAAAACATAATTTCAAATAATATATTAAATATTCTCAAAGTACATTATTTTATTTAAAATATAATATGGCCTGGCCGGTGTGGTTCAGTGGACTGAGCATCATCCCATGGACTGAGGTCCTGGTTCGAGTCCCAGTCAAGGCAGATGCCCAGGTTACAGGCTTGATCCCCAGTAGGGGGTATGCAAGAGGCAGCTGAAAGATGTTTCTCTCACATCAAACTTTCTCTCTCTCCCTTCCTCTCTCTCAAAAAAAAATCAATTAAAAATAATATTTAAGTCCGATCAGTGTGGCTCAGTGGTTGAGCGTTGACCCACGCACCAAGAGGTCGCGGGTTCAATTCCAGGTCAGGAACATGCCCAGTTTGTAGGCCCGATCCCCAGTGGGGGGCATGCAGGAGGTGGCCAATCAATGTTCTCTCTCATTGATGTTTCTATCTCTCTCTCCCTCTCATTTCCTCTCTCTGTAAAATCAATAAAGGAAAAAATAATAATAATATTTAAAATATTTATATATATATAAAACACCCAAAAATATATTCAAATAATATACCTTACCTACATATTCATCCATGTTAAAGGTCTTCACATATTTAAAAGAAAGGTCTCCATTCTTGTGATATTCTATTAGTTTTTTATAACATCCTAATGGTGTGCTCCCTAAAATAAATAAAATTTACATTTCTAAAATAACTTAAAAATCGAATTTAAAAGTTTAGATTAACTTTATCCTATATTTCTAATTTATTAGGCAAATAATTATTAATTTAAATATGTATTCAATTAAATATATGTTGAATTAGTCTCTTTTCAAGGTACTTTGAAATTTTAATAAACTAGAATTTGCTGATAAAGTTGGAAATCTGTCAACAGAAAATTATAGTTCAGAAAATTATTCTTGAGTTTTTAGGTATTTGGAATTAATGTTGTATATTCCAAAATTAGAAACTTTAAGAAAGCACATCTGAATTCAAAGAAAACATCTATCTTTTGAGAAAAAAATTTGAGAGGATTTGTAGCATAAAGAATACATAAATGGATCAAGTGTTGACCATATATTGATATCAAAAGTAAAACTAAAGTTTAAATTAAAATATTATCCCTTTTCAAATAGACTCCTCCGAAACTGGCAAGGATTGTATGAAGAAGTTTTTACCTGGAACTCCTGTTTCTCATTTGTTATCATGTGTCGGCTAAATGTATAATGCAAAATGACTTCTAGGAAATGGGATCTTGGCTTTGAGTACTTCATCTGAGTTCCTGATTTTACTGTTTTACAAATGTAATTCTCTCACAGTCCTTCATGACATGGCACTATAAAAATAAATGTATTTAGCCACTTGAGGATGGCCTCCCTTTGTTTTCTGAATTTGCTACAGCTTGTCATTTTAACTACAAACCAGAAAGCTAAATTGCTTGCATTCTTACAGCAAGCATCTCAGTCCTCTCACTTTGGGTTGGAGTGTTGATTTCTAGTCCATCACAAAACAAAAAACCTGCACACAAAATTTCTACTTAAGTGTCAGGGAGAAGTATGGTAGAACTAAACAGTCTCTGGCAAAAATAACACACACACACACACACACACACACAAATTCTAGAGCAGTAAAAAAATTGCCTCTCATTTGAGATGATAATAATAGAAGTGGCTCTAAATAATAAATACAATATAGATAGATTCAGAGAACAGAAGACTATTAGATTTTCTTATAGTTAAGCATACATATTGTTTTAAAATGCAATTAACAATTTAAAATTTAGGTGGTGAGCCCAGCCAGTGTGGCTCAGTGGACTGAGCATCATCCCATGGACTGAGAGGTCCTGTTCGATTCCCGGTAAGGGCACATGCCCAGGTTGCAGGCTCGATCCCCAGTGGTGGTTGTGCAGAAGGCAGCCAATCAATGCTTCTCTCTCACACTGATGTTTCTATCTCTCTCTCCCTTCCTCTCTCTCTCTAAAAAAAAAAAAAAATCAATTAAAAAAACATATTTTTTACAATTTATGTGGTTAAATTTTTTAATTCCTTCTCAAAGAACTATAGCCCACTAATATGAAATCTGGCTAAAAAAAATGGATAAACATGTTTTTCCTTCTTCCTTCTAGAAGCTTAAATATTCTGTGTCTATCTTTCATTGTCAAGGGAATAGTTATATAAATCTCTCCTTAATTAAAAGATATATAAATTAAAAAGTGAGAAGCTGTCATAATGGTGATAACAAAGAACATGCTTGTCTACTTTTTAATCAAAGTGGCCAAAGGAAAAAACAATGAAAGATATAGTGCAGGATGTATTGATTAAAGAAAATTCATTTTAATATTGCAATACTTTATTTACTAACATAACTAAGCTTTAGCAAGTGTTTACTATAACAGGATTAAGACTGTTTCTATCCTAGAACTCAAAAGATGCAAAATAAACATAACAGAAGGAATAATATTATAAATAACCCTTAAGAAGTCTGGAGAACTATAGTGAATCCAAGAAAACTATAGTCTTGCTTGTTGGAGGAAGGATCAAAGATGATGGCATTTCAATTGAGTCTTGAAGGAGTGGATTCCAACAAAGATGGGGTGAGTTGTGATTGAGAACAGAAGAAAGATGGGAGGAGGTTCAGATATGACATTTGTGTGCCTGCCATGTGCTAGATTCATTGCTATTGTTTTCATACATTTAGCTCATGTAAATCTCACATCCTTGGGAAGTTGGCATTATCTTTCCCATTATGAAAATGAAAGAATTGGGACAAAATGATTAAGGAATTTGCCAAATATCACATGGCAGTGAAGCCAGATTCAAGAGATTGTTTGGTTCCAGAGCCCATATAATTTTCATTATATAACACACTAGGAACATGAGTAAAAATAAAGCCAGCAAGTTCAGGCCTATTCTTTGAACTAAAAGCTGGCTAATTTGCAGGTCATGATTCAGTGTAGGGGAATGAATGGTGGAAATAAGTCAGGGAAGTAAGTCAGGCCCACAGATGCAGGCCCTTAAATGTCAACTTGTTAAAATCACTTCAATAAATAATTAGCAGGTATACCTGAGAAATTGTGCTTGGTTGCACAATACATCAAGTTACTTGCAATTACAGAAATGTATGTTCAAATTTCAAAAGCATAGGGGTGGGGGTGGGGGGGCACGATTAACACTGTCAATGGTCAATGAAGGAGAAAAGTGGGAAACACCAACATAGATTTTCCAGAAATACACCTTTGGCAGGTATATTACTAGGCAGTTATACTATCCAAAATAAAGCAAAAGCTTCATATCTAACTACACAAAAACATGTTTAGCACTGTTGTCATTTGTGACTCTGAAGTCTTTCAGCCCCCACACTCAAATTACTGTTTACTCCTATAGCATAATTAAGACAGAATGATTACGTTAACTAGCCTGAATGTAGCCCAGGTTTACAGTATGAAAACTGATATGAAGGCCATGGTTCAACCACTGGGGCTCACATATCAGAACTGTGGTCGCTGAGGAGGTCCAATATGGGTGTGTACAATTTTAGAGCGTCCCTCTTTGCTATTCTCAACAAGATCTACTGCACTGGATCAAAAAACAAAAAACAAAACAGCAAACAGAAAAAAATCAACGTGGTGGGCTAAAAGGTGATTTTCATGGAAACTATGCAAGTGGAAAAAATATTATGATTGTATCTTTTATGTAGCTGGCATGTATGGGGGAGGAGCAGGAGGAGAAAATACTCTTTAAATAAAACACACAGGAAGAACTTTATATAGTATTTACAGTATACAAGGGATACTTATTTGCACAAGCACTCTTATTTGAACCTCAAAACAGACTGTAAGCTGTTATTATCCTTATCTTTCTAAAAGGTAAGGAAACTGAGACTTAGGGAAGTAGAACAAATGCCTTGCTGTAACCAAGAAAGTAGCAGCTCTGGTTCCAGGTCTAATACTCTTTCCTGTAGGAGTCTACAATATCAAACAAAGTGCCACAAGATTAATAACATCACTTGGTTATTTTATTTTATTTTTTTATCCTCACCCAAGGACATTTTTCCATTTTTTGTTCAGGTAGAGCGGGAGGGAGAGAGAGGAACAGAGAGAGAGAGAGAGAAACATCGATGTGAAAGGGACACAATCGAGTGGCTGCCACCCGCACGACCGACCAGGGCCGGGGACAAACTGCAACCGAGGTACACGCCCTTAGCGGTAACCGAACCCGGGTCTCTCAGGACCGCAGGTCGACGCTCTAACCGCTGAGCCAAACCGGCCAGGGCTCACTTGGTTATTTTTTAAAGAAAAAACCTTAACAAGGAGCTAAATCCAATAAAATATGTAATGAATGTTTATGGTTATCCTGTCATGAAAATATAACAATATGCAATTTTTCCCTTATAATACTATTATAATAGAAAGAAAATAAACACAGAAACAGCAAAGGGCTAATAGGCTATTATAAGGATAATATGGCAGCTAAGGTGGAATTACGAGGCAACAGCACATACTCTAGGTACCTCTTAATAGTTAATAAGAAGGCTAATCCTGGCTAGCATTGCTCAGTGGTTAGAGCATTGGCCCACACATGGAAGGGGCGGGTTCCATTCCCAGTCAAGAGCGTGTACCTGGGATTCTGGTTCATTCCCCAGCTTCAGTCAGGGCTCATGTGGGAGGCAACCAATCTATGTGTGTCTCTCACTGTGATGTTTCTCTTTCTTTTCTCTCTTTCTCTCTCTCTCTCTCTCTCTCTCTCTCTCTCTCTCTCTCTCTCTCACCCCCGCCTCCCTCCCTCCGAATCTCTCTAAAAATCAATGAAAAAATATCCCGTGGAGTGGGGGGAGGGGAGAGTGATTAACAACAACAAAAATACTCTGACCATTACTTCAGTTAGGATATTTTCTTTGTATTTTGTAGTGGCAAGTGAGATAGAATTTAAACAAACAAAACAAAAAACAGTGACAGAATATAGATAATAGATAGATAGATACATATACAGACAGATTTATTTTCAGCTTTATCTACTAATATGTTCAATCAGTGATATGGCAAGAAATAAAGGGGACACATATTTTACTAAAGGAAACCCTTCAATCTTATAACCTTAAGTATCTAAAATGGGAAAAAAGTTTGTGTATTACCTGTTGGTAAACCCAGTGTAAAATATCTTTCCTTTCCAGGTTTGAACTGAATGATGCGATTACAGATGTATTTGGCGGCCCATTCACTAGCCAAGTCATAGTTATCAAGAATTACAAGCCTCATTATGGTGATGCACAGCTTCCAGGACAAGAAGTTCAAACCTAGAAAATCCATTATAGAACACTTTAAGCAATTTACAGACACATAAATGTAAGTGTAACACACTGATGACTTCAAAAAAGAAGGACATGCATGTGTACAAATACAATCTGTACTTTTAAAACAGTAATTCTCTTTTGAACACACCTCGGTTCATGGGCAGTGGGCTAGGTTATTTAAATATATATCTCAATCCTTACAACAATTTGCTAAAGTAAATATAATGCCCAGTTTTAGATGAGGACAGAGACTCACACAATTTGAGGTCACACAACTACTAAGTGACAAAGCCAGAATTCGTATCGAGGCACATTTACAATAAAGACACCACATTGCACTCACTATATCTACAAGGATACTGTATAAATCAACACAAAACAAACATAAAGGCAAACAAAACAGTACTCATTTCTGCAAATTAATGGTGGTAATGATTACTCAGCAACTTTGGGGTTATTTACTAAAATCCAGAATTCTCCCTATAAAAAATGTAAAAACCAAACCTCCCTTTATTAAATAACATTTTTATAAAAATGATACCTGCACTTTAAAAAAAATATCAATCAATATAGAAAGGTACAAATTAAGTTGTAAAAAATCTACACAAATCCTATCACTCATAAATAATTCTATTAGATATAAATTATTCCAGATTGACCCGAAACATGGTGACCAGATATCTGTCTAATGCACACATATAAATAGAATGTATAGAAATAATTTTTAATAATGGGATCATACTAGATATGCTAATTTTTGAGTACTTAAAGATACTTTTATTTGAGATAATTTTTTAAATTAAATTTATTGGGGTCACATTGCTTAATAGGAATATATAGGTTTTGACATACTATTTTAAATAAAAGGCTTAGCACTAAATTTTTGCTACGTTCAACAAAAGAAAAAAAAAAACCCAAAATGAACTAAAGAAACTGCTGATCTTTGGGGAAAAAATTTCCTCACACAAAGTAATTTCAGTTCCTAAAAGAGTACTCTAAAGTTAAGAAAACATATTACCCAAATATTAAGAGAGCAGAGTCATTTAAAAGCTATATGATTCCATTTTAGACAATGTGGACTGACCAACTATCGTGAAAGAAAAACTGCATTCTTGTGTTTTCTTACATCCCAATTTCTGTAAGATGTATTATTTTTGCATCATCATTATTTATAATATTTACACTATAACCATAATTCCCAGATTTTAATTCTTAGTTTTATATTTCCATAATTCCAGGTTTTAATTTGGTTTTATATTTAAATGGATCTGTCACCCAACCAATCCTTTTAGAAACTACTTCAGCAGCAGTCCTGAATTCTGTACCCACACACTTGACATATGTAACAAGTCAAATTCTTTAAATTAATGGGAATAGGTCTCATTACAATGAATATATGGAACTTAAACGATGTCCTTATGAACATAACAATTTAGAATTCTGGCAGAACAACAACGACTATGATCACCAACATCTAGAATTATGGCACAAAGATAAATAGTATTTGCTTGTTAAAAATATAAATTCCCAGGCCCCTCTCACTGGACATAGTATTTCTGAAATGGGTTTCAGGGAACCCGAACTTCTACCAATATCACAGGTGATTCTTACCATCAGGTGAAATTTGGAAAAGAACATCACACAAGATGACTGCATTGGCAAGAGATTCAAGTCAGATGAGGTACAGGGAAGTTTTGTTTGTTGTTTAAACTTTTGGGGCACTCCCAAAAGACCCAAATGAATCACCTCGCCCAGAGTAAAGCAGAATGTGCCACATTTATACAGATTTTTAAAAAGGTGATTTTGCCAATCCTCGGAGATCCAAACGCCTGTGGTCCTGGGCAATTCTCTGGAAGGACAACCGGAGAGCGCTCAAAAAATGACCAGCGCCACCGCTTCCTCATCGCGCCCAGGTGCTGATTCACTTCGGAGGCACGTCGCTCGGAGAAGCGGCTGCTCCAGCGCAGAACTTGAGAGCTGGATGGGAACTTCGCAGGACGGGAGTCTCGACATCGTCTAGGATCGGTCTCTACCAGACCCTGGACCCGGAATCCCTGCTCTGGGCTCTTCCCTGCGCGCACTACGCCCGCCCCGAAGGGTCTCTGAGCCCCACTCGGAAGGGGAATGGGGGTGCGGGATCCAAGAGGGGCCACCAGCAGCGGAGATGGCTGCAGCCCCACCCGCACTGCGTGGCTGCTGGGTCCATCACTTCAGAAACTAGGGCTAAAAGCAAGTGAGGATGACACGAATTTTGGGCAAGTGTCAGGAGAAAGCCCCCAGAGAGCAGGGGCCAGGGAAGCCCCCTCCTGGAGGCCCACTGTAAAGCTGGTCGCGCCCCTCAGCCGCCTTCCCCCACCTCCTCGGGGCTCCCGGACCCCAACCCACCCCAGGGCAATCAATGGCCCGGCCGACTCCCCTTCTTGGCCCATACCCCTGCACTCACCCGCCGGCCCTCCCGCTCCTCCGACGCTGGAAAGGCCGGAACAGCCGACACTTAGCAACCCCGGAGCGACCCGGGCCAACGGGTGGAACGCGAAGCCCAAAGACCCGGATGCAAAACCCGGCGCAGAAGGGACGGCGGCGCGGCCTGTGGGCGGTGCGCATGCGCGTGCCTGGCTCTCGGGTCAGCGGCGTGGGAGTCCACCCCAGTTCCGTGCGGCCGCGGACCTCTCCCTCCTGAGAGTGTCCAGTTCCTGGACCATCGATTCTTTGGGTTTTAGCACGCTGGACTACAATGTTCATATAAAAACATAGTTTGGTTGTTGCTGATAGAGGCAATAGGATATTATCTCCTTTGCAAGCACAGTGACAGCTAAGCGCTTTTTAAAAAATCAACAAGCTCATCAGGGTTAAGCTTGTTAAGTGCTGCAGAAGGCAAAATGTTTACAATAGGAAACCTTGGAGCAGCTCAGTAAGAGTGAACCCAGGAGGTGTTAATGGGATATGGACTTGTGCTGAATGAGCCTGAAAGGGGATGGAGGAAACAGAATCACAGATCTGTGTTCTGGGGGAGGAGGGAAGGAAGCAGGGCTGAGGAAGGAAAGTAGCAATCACTCTAAAGGGGGGTTGTGTGGCTTTGCTATGTCCCATTAGGAACACTGTTTAGAGTTCGATTAGGAACAGTATAGTCTGTCCAGCATGGAGTGACAGACAGACTAAAGGTCCTGTTTCCTTGGACACTATAAAGTTAAGATGAATGTGAAATGTAGTGTCCCCAAACTCCTTATCTATAGTTCTGCACCTGGGTTGTAAATCCAGCTTCTCTGCATCAAATGATCCCCCCTGCTTACATTCTTTGGCCAAGAGTAGGATGCTCCATTCTCAATTATATGACTTCAAAGAGCAAACTTTCTTACAAAATGTATCAGAAGACAAGATTACTTAGCACTATAGCATTGAGTTAGCTTACAAAAGCAGTTTTCAACCTTCCCAGTACTATAATGTATCATCTTACAAAAATCTATTGTTCATCTACAGAGGTCAAAAAGAACTGCAAGTAACAAAAAAGAGCTTCGCCTGGAATATTATTGGAGCATAGTGGGATATTTAAGAAATGCATTTTTTCTTGATGGGGTTACTTCTTCTTCATGAGTTTCTGACACTAGGAAGTAAGTTCTGCTCCTGCCATAAGTGCTGACCATGGTTAATTTTGCTGTGATTACACTAAATCACGTTCTTTCTGCCTTTTTCTAAGTTGGTGTTTCTCACCTCTTGTAACCCCAATGTCATGCTTTTTTTTGTACTAAGATTAAAGCCAGTGTTACTGTCATCAAGAGCAAAATATTTAATACTAAATAGAAAAATTGTTTTTGAGAAGGGCAGGGACATGTAAGCTGAGTCATTCATTTGTTCATTCAACAAACATTTATTGTGTTCAGTAAACTAAGAGTCTTGTGGGAATGCACACATCACCCAATAAATATTAATAAGGCAAGGAAGTCTCAGTTATAAGATTCTAATTGAGATATTCCTTTATGTTTGGGGATTACCTGTGTCCTGTCCTCCAAATAAAGCCCCAAAGAATGACAGGACTAATAGAAAGGTCCCTGAACAAAGGTTTTAGATGAAGGGTTTCATAGAGAAGTTTTGACAGCTGTCACTCAGGGACAGATTTTCAGTGGCATAGGAGCAGTAGAGTAGAGGTGGCTATGAAGGTGACAGGAAAATATGCCTGATGAAAGCCTTAGTCTACTACATTTCACAGAGAGAAGTATCAAACAGCAGTCATACCCTGTGATCCTGAGTGGCTGACATAGAGCTGCAGTTAACTGTCATAGAACCTGAAATAGTGTTTCAGCCACATGTCTTATAAAAATGGAGGGCAATGGACAAAGGATGTTTCAGCAAATACCAATGGGGATATATGCTTAAGACCTCAAACCACAGGAAGAGATAGTTTATCCATTGCAGTGGAGGTCAGAGAAGAGCAAATGACCTCAGAACAGAGGCCTTTGTTAATGTAGACACCAGTAGCCTCTCCACCTTGGATGCTATCCTGAGTTGAAGAGGGATACCAAGAAATGACAGAATGTATACTTGAAATGATGAAAATCTTTAAACAAGGAAATGAACCTGAAAACAACTGGTTTAAGTTTCCTGCTCACATGAGTATGGGGCTTGAGGGAAAGATTTAAGTAAAAGTTATATCCAAAATGTATATTATATAGATATATTACAGAAAAACAAGAAATGGCACATTGGAATTTATGGCCCATGAAATTACTGTATGCCACAAAATGTTTTAGCAAGGTATACCATGACTAGATGCGAAACAAAAATCACCCTGTATGTCTGTAAAGAACAGATTGAAGTTAGATCAATAGATCAGGGTAAAGTGAGTTTTTTCCAACAAGAGTATACAGAGGAGAATCCGCTAAGCCCAGGAAATAGCTTGCCAAAGGTATGCAGGCAAGAAAGTCAAAGGCATACATGTGGAATTTTGATTTACTCCCATATGGCTAAGAGTAGGATATATTTCAAAAACTACCAGAAATTGAATCTGGAAAGAGAAATCAAGATGAGATAAAGTATCTTGTAGGCTATGCATGGAAATTAAACTTTATATTATAGGTCCCAGCTTGAGCTCTAGCTCTCAGAAGCATACCCTCTCCTTTTACCTTCCCCTCTCCCTCTACCCCCCTCTCCCCCTCCTCCCGCTCTGTCTTCCCTTCTTCTTCCCTGTCAGGCAGGCATCTCCTAAACTCTAAGGAACCCCAGGAGACTAGCAACCAGGCAGCAATGGGCAGTGGGAGTTGGTCCCAGGCAAACCCCCTGACCCTGTCCCCAAGACCTCCTTTTCTCTGACTTAGTGAGTCAGAGCAGCCCAGCCTAGGCTCATTTGCCCGCCTAGTCCCTCTCCTGTTATCCTAGGCCCTTCCTTGTTCCACTGTCCCCAGCTTTAATAAATGTCCTCTGAAATTCCCCTGGACTCATGCTGTGAAATTTTTCCTGCATGAAGTCAAGAACCCACACACTGCTGGCTGGCCTCAGGCAGACCCACCAGGGCCAGGTCCCCTTTCATGTAACAGTTGACCAGTTTCTCTTTGCTTTTATGGAGAGGCAGATTTTGGGATATCCTTACCCTGTCATTTTAGCTGCTGTCCTCAGCTGATTAATTTTCTGAATGAGAATTTTTTTAATGAGTTTGTTTTTCAAGGAATTTTTAAATTTCTCTTGCCAAAATTATTGACATAACATTGTTCATAATACTCCTCTGTTACCTGTATAATTGTAGTGATTTTGTCTCTCTCATTTCTGATACTGGTAAACTGTACCTTCATTTTTTCCTTCCTAATTACTGGGTTCAGATGTTTATTAATTTAATTGATCTTCTCAAAGAATTAAATTTTGTATTAATTCAGTTTTGAATTGCTTTTTGTTTTCTATTTCATTAATTTCTGTTGCTTTAGTTTCCATCTCATAAATTTGATATCTTGTCTTTTCACTGTCATTTAGCAGAAAATTCTTTCCAATTTATAGAAATTTCTTGACCTACAAGTTATTTAGAAATGTGTTTTTAGTTCCCAGATATTTGGGTACTTTCCAGTTATCTTTCTGTTTTTGGTTTCTATTTTACTTCATTTGTGGTCAGATAACATTCTTTGTGTGACTTGATTCTTATAAAATGTACTAAGACTTGTTTGTGACCCAGAATGGGGTATATATTCATGTGCACTTGAAAACAAATGTGACTTCTGCTGTTTGGGGAAGATTGTTTTATAAGTATCAATTAAGTAAAATTGGTTGATAGTGTCCAAATCTCCTCTATCCTTACTGATTTTATGTCTACTTAGTCTGTTAATTAATGAGAGAGTAGTGTTGAAATTACAGTTATTATGGATTCATCTATAGTTTGTTGACATTTTATCAGTGTTTGGTTCATGCCCTCTGATGCTCTGTTATTAGGTACATAAAAATTTAGGTTTGTTATATACTCTTAATGAATTGACCCCTGTATCATTATGAAGGGATCTTTTTTATCCACAGTAATATTCTTTGCTCTGAAATCTTATATTACTGTCACCCACCACTTCAACTTTATTTTATTAGTGTTCAAATAGTATATACTTTTCATTCCTTTGCTTTTAACCTGTTCATATCTTTATGTTTAAATTTTTAAAAATCATTTATTGAGATATGATTGATATACAAAAACTGTACATATTTAATGTATGAAATTTGATGTGTTTGGGCATTTGCATACACCCCTGAAACCTTCATTACAGTCAAGGAAATAAACATTCCCATTGTCTGCAAAAGTTATGCCCTCCCTCCCCTTTTTGTGTGTGTGTGGTAAGACCAGTTAACAGATCTATCC